CGTCCCTCAATTATTGTCAGACCCCCCACTTCGGAAATCGCTCCGCGACCTCTGTAATGTGCACACAAATGTGTACATTCTGAGTGCATATATACAGTTTCTCAATCTGGAACAAATGACCAGGGAAAACCTGACTTGAAAATCATAACCAGTGGCTGCCAGGCAGGATACGCCCACATTTTCGAGAGATGGATAGAGAACAAGCTAACAAGAAAGTGATTTTTCCTACAATCAAGCGCCATAATTCAGGAAATTACAATTCGATATGCGCAAATATCGAAAGGAACTGAGATCTTTGTGTTATAAACTTACATTTCAAGTTTCAACAAAATCAGATAACCAGCGGCTGCCAGGCAGGATACGCCCACATTTTCGAGAGATGGATAGAGAACAAGCTAAGAAGAAAGTGACTTTTCCTACAATCAAGGGCCATAATTCAGGAAATTACAATTCGATATGCGCAAATATCGAAAGGAACCGAGATCTTTGTGTTATAAACTTACATTTCAAGTTTCAACAAAATCGGATAAAAATTGTGACCTCGATAGGGTCCACAACCTTGATATACCATATTCTTACGCTATTTGAGACGAACGGCGGCCATTTTTTTCTGTCAATTTTGAGCCGATTTTCACGAAATTCGAACTCAGCCATCCTTAGGGTGTAACGGTGATATAATAATACGATTTTTTAAATCGGATAAAAATTATGACCTCTATAGGGTCCACAATCTAAAAACGTGATTTTTCATACAATCAGGGGCCATAATGCAGGAAGTTACGGTCCGATATGCGCGAATATCGAAAGGAACCAAGATCTTTGGGTTATAAACTTACATTTCAATTTTCAACAAAATCGGATAAAAATTGTGACCTCTATAGGGTCCACAACCTTGATATACCATATTTTTACGCTATTTGAGACGAACGGCGGCCATTTTGTCTGTCAATTTTGAGCCGAATTTCACAAAATTCGAACTCAGCCATCCTTAGGGTGTAACGGTGATATAATAATACGTTTTTTTAAATCGGATAAAAATTATGACCTCTATAGGGTCCACAAGCTAAAAACGCGATTTTTCGTACAATCAGGGCCCATAATTCAGGAAGTTAAGGTCCGATATGCGCGAATATCGAAAGGAACCGAGATCTTTGGGTTATAAACTTACATTTCAAGTTTCAGAATTGTGACCTGTAGAGAGTCCACAAACAATTGTGTACGGACGGACGGACGGACAGGGGCGACGGCATAATACGTCCACATGAAAATGTGGGCGTATAAAAATTGTGACCTCTGTAGGGTCCACAACCTTGATATACCATATTTTTACGCTATTTGAGAACGTACGGCAGCCATTTTGTCTGTCAATTTTGGGCCGATTTTCACGAAATTCGAACGCAGTCGTCCTTAAGGTGTAACGGTGATATAATAATAAGTTTTTTTTAAATCGGATAAAAATTATGACCTCTATAGGGTCCACAAGCTAAAAACTTGATTTTTCATACAATCAGGGGCCATAATTCAGTAAGTTACGGTCCAATATGCGTGAATATCGAAAGGATTCGAGATCTTTGGGTTATAAACTTACATTTCAAGTTTCACCAAAATCGGATACAAATTGTGACCTCTATAGGGTCCACAAGCTAAAAACGTGATTTTTCCTACAATCAGGGGCCATAATCCATGAAGTTTCGATCCGATACATGCCAATATCGAAAGCAGTCGAGATCTTTTGGGGATAAACCTATATTTCAAGTTTCGTCAAAATCGGATAAGAATTGTGACCTGTAGAGAGTCCACAAACAATTGTGGACGGACGGACGGACGGACAGGGGCGACGGCATAATACGTCCACATGAAAATGTGGGCGTATAAAAATTGTGACCTCTGTAGGGTCCACAACCTTGATATACCATATTTTTACGCTATTTGAGAACGTACGGCAGCCATTTTGTCTGTCAATTTTGGGCCGATTTTCACGAAATTCGAACGCAGTCGTCCTTAAGGTGTAACGGTGATATAATAATAAGTTTTTTTTAAATCGGATAAAAATTATGACCTCTATAGGGTCCACAAGCTAAAAACTCGATTTTTCATACAATCAGGGGCCATAATTCAGTAAGTTACAGTCCGATATGCGCGAATATCGAAAGGAACCGAGATCTTTGGGTTATAAACTTACATTTCAATTTTCAACAAAATCAGATAAAAATTGTGACCTCTATAGGGTCCACAACCTTGATATACCATAATTTTACGCTATTTGAGAACGAACGGCGGCCATTTTGCTGTCAATTTTGGGCCGATTTCCACGAAATTCGAAGTCAATCTTCCTTAGGGTGTAACGGTGATATAATAATACGTTTTTTTAAATCGGATAAAAATTATGACCTCTATAGGGTCCACAAGCTAAAAACGCGATTTTTCGTACAATCAGGGGCCATAATTCAGGAAGTTACGGTCCGATATGCGCGAATATCGCAAGGAACTGAGATCTTTGGCTTATAAACTTACATTTCAAGTTTCAAAAAAATTGGATAAAAATTGTGACCTCTATAAGGACCACAAGCTAAAAACGTGATTTTTCGTACAATCAGGGGCCATAATCCATGAAGTTTTGATCCGATACATGCCAATATCGAAAGCAGCCGAGATCTTTTGGGGATAAACCTACATTTCAAGTTTCGTCAAAATCGGATAGGCCTAAGAATTGTGACCTGTAGAGAGTCCACAAACAATTGTGGACAGACGGACGGACGGACAGGGGCGACGGCATAATACGTCCACATGAAAATGTGGGCGTTTAAAAAAATCTTTTGGCCAACTGTGGGACACTGTAGTTCCTGCAGGTAGCATCTTACCTTAGTAACAGTGCCCCTTATAAGTTTAAACCTTTGATTCGGCAATGATTTTCATTTCAATGGTTATGTGTAATGCCACGAGCAGCACTTCTGACTAATTTTCTTAGAATTCCAACTATAGAGTGAGAGAGAGAGAGAGTGAGAGAAGTGGGGTTTATCGTCCATGCGGCACAAACTCGGTCATTTTGGGACTAACATATGGTTCAATTTTATTTCAATAGAGATCTTAAGCAGTGAGAGGAAACCGGAGGACCCGGAGAAAACCCATGTGGTTGGACAAATGACCCTACTCCTTGTCACGTACGACCGGGGAATCGAAACCACATCTGCAGTTGACTCAATGACAGACCGTATGATACAACACGCACACACTAACTATTCAACCATATCTACGCAGGAACAACACAACAATGCCACTCAGGATTATATCAAGGTAGGGTTCTTTAACTTCACACCAATGACATGTGTACACACATGGACCGCCGATTTTTGTACCATCTGAACAATTAGCCACTTTCATTGTCAACCACACTTCATCACCCCTGACAAACGAGAATAACTTATCAGTACCAGTAATAAAAGTGTTGATTTCATTAAATTTGATGTGTTCATCAATTTGTGTTCAGCAATTGACAGTTTAAAATAATTAGATATCTTTAATTAGAATCAACAATAGTATTTGTCAATTCATTGGATTTTATGTTTTGATTTATCTTGTGGGGTGATTCTGTGTTCATCGAAAATTTAAAGATGTGTAGATAAATTTTTGGTTGCCCCAGCACATGATCATTGTACTGATAATTGTGTGACCACTTCTGTTGGAGGAGTCAACTTCTGAAAGCTAATTCTGACCACATGTTTAAACTGTACATGGTTACAAGGTAACTTGCTAAGTAATACTGTGGGAGACCTCCTGAATTATGAGGGCCATTACATTGCAAATTCAATAAATTGCACTATGGTAGCCTACCACTACACAAACATTAAGCAAGAGCTAAATCTGCCTATTGCAGGTATTTCTTAGGCCTGAAATAATGTTATCTAAAACATTAATTAGACATTAATTAACTTATTCATACTATAATCAACACTCGATGTCATCGCTAGCCTACTATACTTAGTGGATTGGAAAACATTTTGTGAAGGCTGATTAAACGTAAAAATGGATAATCAAGACTTTGTTTTTATTGTACGACTTTAGCAATGATCTAGCCTAAAATTCAAAAGCTAATATCTCAGTTCAGAGTGGAGTAATTTGACTGAAATTTTCAGCATATTCTATTATTAGAGCTAGAATTGTCAACTCTTTAATCTCCCATAGATAAGATAAGATAAGATTTTATTGTATCAAAACATCCATTAAGGACAGAATACAATATGAACATGTATATAAAGATATAGTATGACAAATAATAGATATATACATGTATTTACAAACAAGACAAATGATAATTTTATCTAGGTTACACATTTACGAACAGGACAAACAGTATGATAATCATCTCAGAATAGCCTACATATATGCCCCTTTAATGTTAATGTTAGTAAGTTGTAATTACAACTACCCATTACCTTATAAAACAACCCTTTTTTTCAAACATTAAAATGACAACTATTTTTATTTCTTTTACAATAATATTATCATAAAATCTAGTTATTGAATTGTCATTTCCAGGCATATTAAGAACACTTTCAAGTGAGTCTGAGAGGCACCACTAACTAAACTGTCTGGCATTGAAAAAGGAGTAAATTTAAAATATGGCATTGAAAAAGGAGTAAATTTAAAATATAATTCCCTATATTTGATTTTATTAAATAAATGGATATATTTGAATACATAAATGTCAAATCACTGATGATACCGGTAATGTCATATTGACATAGTTCTACCTAGTTTGTCCATTACCGGTACCATCCATGACATTTTACACAACTGAAAAAGAAAAAGATTATTTAGTAGTTCATGATTGTATAACATTACCATGTGTGTGACGTTCATAATCCAAGAAAACAGTGTTGCAATTTCCTCGAGTCAACAAAGATTTAGATGCGCAATTGATGACGCTAGCCCACTCAGAATAGAATTCCAACATTTTTCTAAGAAATGGAAGTAAAAGTAGAATATACCCTAGGACATACCAGTTTGTCTGTGAGTACCAACTACCGTAGTTTATAAAGCATGTCTCTGTGGTATAGACTGGATTCGGCTGGATAGCTTGCTGGATGGCCACCGAAATATAAAATCATGGTGGTGTATGTCCATATTTTTAATAGACTGTTGTCTAGCTGCCGGTATTTATTTCTACTCACATTTCGTGACACACGAGACTAACATTCTCGCGCATGCGTTGCATAACCAGCTGGTAAATATAAATACGTGTATCAGTGTCATGAGAAGGCATTTTTAAAAAATAACCTTTCGCAACAAATATTTTAACGTTGACATCGCTTTTTTAGCGTACGTATCAATTGAACTAGAGTATTGCAATTCCCTTTTACCAGCCAAATCTATCAATATAGGGCCTACAGATGGAAAAAAAACAACCCAGCTCATATAATTTGTTTCCAAGAAGCAGAAAACATGTTTGCCTTGGTTAAATATAGTGTCAAACCTATTTATGTAATTAATTTTGGCTATATCCAGGTTTGAAATAAGATGGTTAAATTATCAGATTTCGCATACCGTACATGCCCCCCCCCCCCCCACATTCGATCCCCCAACCCGAACCGTATTATATAATCGCGTCAAATCGAAATATTTTTTTTTACTAGTGAAACAGCGCCTATATAGTATTAACGCCACTTAAAGTAGCGAAGTCCGAATTAAACCCAATATCATCCAAAATCTTCGACATTGAAAACACGAATTTTTTTTTTTGCAATTTAAATCAGCATTGGTGTGGTGATCTTACCCTGAAAATATGGGCTTCTGATATCCAATATTTCAGACAAAATAAACATTTCACCATTGGTACACGAATCGTGTACCATAATGCGTTTCAGTGCAATTTGTAACAAGGTGCTCAAAGAATGAGGCTAGACATATTCCACATGTCATATCAAACGGTAATGCCATATTCTTATTTGTAGAGCATGCACAATAAATACTATCGATGTTGACTGGAATAACCAGACGCTAGAAACTGATTTTCGGTTGAGACTTCTGGCGTATATCGCCGAACATAACTGATGACAATTCACAGTAAAATAGAAACGATGAATGTAAAACAGTTTATATAAATTCCTATTATATTATTATATGTGTTGCGACCCATTTAAATTGTGCCAATTTCGAGCTCCAAAATATTACCGATTTAGCTCCTTTAAGTTTGTTCTTCCCAGGATATATCAGCTGTTTGATAATGGTGTTAATCAACAATAATTAATACACCGATATTTTGGTTATATTCATTATACGTGTTGGGCAGTTTGACTATATTGTTTATTCTGCATTGATTTTTAAGCGTAAATAAAGATCTGCATTTCCCGTACATAATCATAGAGTTATACTGTGTATAACTCTATGGAAGTATATTATTATAACTCCTGTTCATATTGAAGCATACAGATATTCACAAGTATTATTTATACGGTTTATTTCACAGGCACTTTTCATTATCTTGACCACAGTACATATCTAAAATATATAATAAAAAATTGTAATCCCATAAAGTGCCTGAGGGTAAATGAGAAGGGTATTCCCCACCTCTCTATACATGTAATTCATTATATTAATAATAATATCTCCCCATGATTCTCATGTTTATGCAATAAATTATGTATTTAATTTAATAAATCCCTCAATACTGTATCTCCGCGGATCACGGATTATTTATTACGTTTATAGATTATTCAGCTATAATATCGATATTTTACGCTTTATCATTTTTGAGACGCACCATTAATTTTCGTTAATACACTCCATCAACGAGAAAATGATTCACAAAAAGAGCGCGTAGGTAGTATAATTTTGAATTACTCTCTCTGTATATTTATTACCGAATAAAATGTGAAATTGGCAATCAATCCAATAACCTTTCGATGTGTCCATGATCGTAATTTCTAATTTATTTGTCTCTCACATTTAGTTAAACCAATGCTGTTTTTGCTTATAATAGTTTTCATTTACATTACTTATTTAACTATAAAGTCATAAAATGAAACTTTTAATAATTAGCATTTATTTGTCTTTCGAATCTAATTGTAAGCTAATAAACCTAGATACGTGATAAAATTACAGATAGCGGAATATGTCACGTGAACAGAACGTGCCTGTTTGCTAAGCGCTGAGCTAGGATTATGCTTACGCTCATGGCAGCCAATCAGAGCGCTAAGCTAAGCTGGGCGAGCAGTCGGCTAGTCTGCTGATACAGGTCATTGAAACAATAGGAAAATTTACAGTTTTAGTATGACCCAAAGCTTTCTAATTAGGCCATGAATTACGGCTTGAAAATAACGGTAAAGTTCGTTTTAATATCTGAAGACTTTTCGTAAAGGTAAGCATTATTTATTAATAAGCTTCCGATGCTTTTCTGCTCTATTTTTAGACTATTTTAGTAGGTAATTTGCTATGGAGTTCTTAAAGCAGAGTCAGCCGGCTTGCAGTAAACTAATAGCTAACAAGCATATGGACAGCCATGGTAGAAATAAGGTCACACTTATACAGGGCTTTTACATGTATAATGGCAATTTATCACTCTACCAAGCAAATTTTATTTTGACAGTATAACTTCTTTGGGGTAAAACTATCGCCCATGCATACACAATCTAATACAATTTGTAAAGGTTTAAGGTTAATTCTCTCAAAAGTGAACGTTGATTTACTTTTAAGTAGTTGAAAAATATATATTATTAGGCCACTGTGTATATTATTTATTTAGTATTAGTAAATTTTAATGCTTATATATACGATTTGAAAATAAAGTTAAAGAGACAATGTACAGAATAAAATATATTTTAAGATTTTGACATGAGCAGGTTTATTTTCATGGGGGTATATAAGTGATTGTGGTGGTGGCTTGGATGAGAATATTTTGAAAATAAAATAAAGTAGCAAACTATTGGAAACATTTGTTGTCTGCGTTATCACCTGAGGCTGAAACGGACGTAAAACCTCAAGGAAGAAGAAATGAAATGGGGTTTAATGTCCTACTGTTCTGCTCCTATGAAGACGGGCATACGCCATACAGTGTGCTATGAAGGAAATTTTGTCCGGGCAGCGGCACTATCGCCTACTCTCATATCGAATTCCAACTGCCAAGGGATCTTTTACGTGCATTCCAATGTATACACGGGACCTTGGTTTTTCATCTCATCCGAAGGACTAGACAGCTGTCCTTGTCCAAGGAAGAAGAAGTTCAAGGGGAAGTTTCAATAGTCCTTGTAGTATAAATGTTTATTTTTTTTATTAACAACTTTAGGACTAATTGGTGTTGGTTATTCTAATCTTTACATACATGTCATAGAAACTGTCTGTCTAAGAGTGCAATACCGGTGTATTTTCAAATAAAATATTAAATTCTTACATCACACACTGTAAAGTTGGGAGTTGCAATTTGGTGTTATTAGTGAGTGAGCTAAACGCTGGCTTGCTAACTAGTGGTGCAGGACAGAGGGCCTGACAGTGTTTAGTCATTCGGATTGGACAAAAAACTGATATCACGTGTACAGATTGGCGTGCAAATAAATACCTGCAGGTAGTTTGGCTACAGGTAGTGTCGATGCCTGGCAAAATCTCATAGCACAATGTATTGCGTATGCCCAACTTCATTAACCCAGTCGGTGCAGAAAAGTATGCGAAACCCTATTCCATTCATTTTGTCCAACTCCCTAAACATGTCACATAACAAAAATCATGCAGATGTCCATGCTTTTTAAAGTCTAATGAACTATTTATTTCTTGTAGGCCTACTATATTCACAAATGAAAAATAAAAATACTTTGTTTTAAATTTTTTAAAAAACATTCTTTGATGTGGATCTCCTTCATTTTAAAGCGAGAATTTCATATTTTCTAAGAAAGTCGAAACATAATTATGTCTATGTCTTTTGCTCAATAGGTTATCAACTCACTATTATACATCATAGGTGTCATTCTCACACTTAAAACTCATTTACACAGGAAATAACAACACAATTACCTCCCTTGTTTTCCTATTGAAAACAATGGTCAGCCATTTCCTCAACGTTGGAATTTGAAGTTGAAAATGATATTTTTGCCAATTTCTCAGCTGGCAATAGTGAATTATAGGATTAATATGATTATTCTTTAACAAGGTAGGACTGTTTATGGATACCATCTATTTTAAGGCTTTATGTTAATAAATTTTAAAAATATAACTTAAAAATTTGAAATTTCCGCTTTAACTTTTATTTTCTTTATTTAGGGATTAAGTTTGTATATATTCAACAATATGGCCGTCAAAGCTGAACCAATGGAATATGAAACAGAAATGGATGACACTTTTAGAAATCAAGGTTACAGTCGTGGTTCAGTACCAAAGTCAATTGATCTCACAGATGATCAAAAGGTCATGCTGATACCCTCTTCTGATGAACCCTATATTACAGGAATATTCCACAGATCCTCAGAGCAAATATCTAATCGCCAGAATTTTAATATGCTTCCATCCGACATAACAGCTATGCAACAGGAACATAATTTTTTTGGAGGCGCAATCCGATCCATGAAATCTAGTCCTAAACAAGAATTAATTGATGAGGAATACCCTACTTACACCATTGCTCGCAGTGAAATCGAACTCAATTCTAGATCACTTCCCAAAAAGTATAAATGTAAATTCTGCGTTTATAAGACCAGTTATAAATCTGATTTGAATAGACACCTACGTCGTCATGCAAAGAAAGATAATGTGTATAATTGTGACGTGTGCGGCCTGCCGTTTCGTAGTATTAGCAAAGTCTATAGTCACAGACAGCAGGTTCACATGTTAACTGATGATGATGAGTTAAATTTGTGTTGTTCGTTATGTTCTTATCGCTGTGCGGAAAAAGATATTGAGCTCTTCCAGTTACATGTTCATCAGCATATTGAAGATAATACGTGCAATGTCTGCAATAAATCCTTTAACAGTCCCCAAGCTGTTGATAAACATAAAAAGATTTTCCACCAAGTGCCAAGTGAAGTTGTTTTTCCTCCACAAGCCCAAAGATCTTCCACATATTTCCCTGATGTTTCTCATGAATCCTCTTCAACGGAAATCCAAACCAAAGAACCAGAACTTGAACTTTTGCGACAAGATGATTCCTCTGGAGCCAGCAGTCGTAATATCTCAAACAGGTCCACACCATTGCCTGTTGGGGAAACCAGTATCACATCAAGGGGGAATAACTCCAAATTGGCAACTCCAGCTGAAATCTGTCGTGAAAGCAGCAGATCAGAACATAACAAAAGGAAAGATATTGATGTGAATAAAACAAAGGCAACCAAGGAAGGTAATGATTTATCAGACAAATCAGCTCAACAGTCAAAGAACCTGGCTGATGTCAAAAGTCCACAAAGACTAACTACTAACATACCAGAGCTTGTAGAGAGATCTGAGACTTTACCCAATAATGGCCAAACTGTCCCATTACGCATGACTAATTCAGGCTTTCTAGAAAAGAAATTTACTTGTGACAAATGTAATCAAGTATTTGATGTTATGCGAGATCTGTTTGTTCATATGTCTGTCTGTTTACAAGAGGAGTTGAATACTAAGACGGCATTCTACAATTGTCCAATATGTAATTTCTCCACCGAGGTCTTAGAAAGTTTCTCAAATCATATGGTCAAACATACCATTGATAAATTTAGCTGCGACATTTGTAATAAACCCTTTTCTCAGTTTCGAAATGTTTTGAGTCACAAGCGAAAAATTCACAGAATTGATCTACGGACAAGACGCTCTCCAACAAAATTGAAAGCTTTTGGATTCAACAACAAGTTTCTTCGAGGGTCAAATGATACAAAGTTAGGATTTCCGAACTCCAACTGTTCCCCGTATTCCAAAGAAACTATGGGACAAATTAAAAAACTTGCGGAAAAAGAATTAAGGGAGGCAGACACTGCTGAAACTAATGATATGGTTATGGCTGTGGCAGATCCTAAAACCCAAGGAAAATTTAATATTGCGAACTCAAATATATCAGAAAAATCTCCACCTTCTGGGCGTTACACTCGTTTAGTTTCCGATTTTGATGATTTCATGGTGAAACCATTTGCATGCTCTTTGTGTTTTTTTCGGACTGGAGATGTAAATGAATTAATATTGCATGTTAAAAATCATGTATCTGGATCCTATGGAGGTGCGATTCCAGACATTGTTAGATTTAATTTCACTCCTGTCCTTGATTCCAATTCACATCTGGAACATAATGAAACAATTTACAATTTGAATATTAGCTCGAAAATATCCCCAACCAGTCAGAATTTTGTTGTCATTAACAACGAAAATGACGTCATGGAAACAGCAAGTGTGATTGCAGGGAAGACAGAAAATCAGGTGAAACAGATCAAGAGACTGGATAATCTATTGAAGAATTCTCGGAAGAATAAAATGTTTATTAGTCGTGCTTCCAACCGTAATAGCGTGGAAAAGAAATCTATGTCATGTGATATTTGTAATAAAGAATTCAGCATGAGACTTCTAGCCAAACGTCACATGGAAAAAATACACAATATTAAGAAATTTCTGTAAGTCTTTACTTGTAACATTAATATTGGTTCCATTGATTTTTAAACAATAACGGAAAAATTTATTCCTTTATTTTATATAAGCAAAATTGCGATGGCAACCTTTGGCTTTAAACATATATTCCCTCTACAATGGATATCTAAAATATACATAACCATCAATTATAAAATACACTCAAATTACTGGTGGGTAATTATATTTATTGCCATCTTATCAATTATTATTTTTAAGTTGCCAAAGTATAGTACAATGTACATGTACTTGATGGAACCTACATGTATCTTCATGGAAATGTGTCCAAATCATAATTTTTTTATATATATTTTGGATGAGCAATAATGATATTGGTAGGGTACACATGTATCATATCTTTGAATTTGCCTACTTTCCCTTTCCATTTGTTTTAGAAGTTATTTATATTATATAGTCTTATTTAAAATGTATATGAATTTATTAGTTTACACACCACATTGGTTGCTTAAATATTTATGTGTTAAGAAGTACAATATTATATTTTTACTTTTGATTCTTGTGGTACCTGTAGGTTTTAGTATTTGAAGATAAATTGTTGAGTTAAAAGGATACAACCTCTTTGATTTAAATATTTGATGTGTTAATTTGCTTTGTGAAGTGGATATATGTCTACATCTAAAATTTGAGGTCCACAGATAGAGCCAATGTTAAATTGTATTAAATAGTAGACAATTTAAGCCAAAAATGAAATTCTAATTATATGGAGATTGTCACGTCATTAATTGAATTTAGGTATCAAATCAACTCTGTTTAATATTTCATTGTACCCAATGTCAAAGACATTATATTTATATCTATATTACATGTATATGTATCTAATTTGACGTCTTGATGAGTCATTTAGCGCCATAGGAACCCTTTGCAGACTACCATATTGTGAAAGTTTGATGTCTCGTTTGAATATCAGTCCAAAAATGCTTCAATTGCATTCAGTATTTATAAATTTATGTTGAATTGAGATTTCAACGATCTATACTGCTCACTATGTAACAAGCCATGCACTATGTTTTTTTTTGTTCATTTACATTAGGCCAAAAATTACCAACGGTTACCACACCCACCCTATTTTCTTTTTCTTTAGCCCAATTCACGGTTCTAAACTCTTTTGTCTCATTTTTGAGGTCATACAAATTGGCCTTGGCAAGGTTTTCTGCAGACACCGACATTCCGAATCTGCATTACTTTACAAAATCTTACTCGGTAATTAAGCTAGAACTGCTAGGAAATAAATGATTAACACTTTACAGTATTTAAAATGAAATCACAATGGCTATAGACTGCAAGCATTAATGTACCAGGGTAGTTTATTAAAAGTATAATTTATTAGTTAACTTAGTTCTATCCAATCTGAACCTCAAAAACACGAAAAGAAAAAAGATTTTTTTGTGGCAAAGTTAGTAACCATATAAACAGGTATTTTTTTTTTTATTATGCCTACTCATGCGGCTGGTTTTTGATTTTGTTTTCTTAATTACATGTTAAATAATCTATCTGAGTACATATTAGCGGGGATTAAGTGGTGAGAAATTTGATATTGTAGCAAATATGCAAATGACGCATCAAGCCTTTAATAGTTTTTCTTAAAACTTTAATCCCCAGAATACATCAAGAAAACCGTAAAATAGGAATTATGTTTACACTACAATGCACTTTTATTTGTTTTGGTTCGATTTTGTACTAATAAGCGCCCCATTTTTGGAATATTTTTTATTCAAACGGGAGGTTATTACGTAGATTATAGTACAAATGTACCTGCTACATGTATGTGATTTTTTTTTTATTGTTTGAATTTTCTCTACTTGTACAAGATAATTGCAGTATACTGACCTATGAAAAGGTGCACCGGTACAATAAATTGTTTTTTCAGGGTGTGTTAAGTTAAATCAATTGAAGAATGAATTTATATATCTTTAATTTTAATCAGAATGTTAGTGCAGTGTTGCTCTATTAATATATACATGTACAAGTAGCAAATAGAAAAATTGTCTTTAAAAATTGTATATTCTACCCAAGCACTTGCCCTAGTAAACAAATAGATAAAAAATTTGCATTTATTCAAAGTAAGAAATTTAAAAGCATTACTAAAATCACTTAGATCTAGTTTTTGAGATAGTCAGTGAAATATGAATGTTTTATCTACATGTATCATTGAATCAGAGTGACAAGTTAGTGATGGAGTTTTAAGAATGTAGTCATCAAGTTTTTATATTTACATTTACAGATCTAGTCTTTTATTTATAATCAAACTAGTCCATTATTATTGTATAATCAGTTATATTATTGAATTTAATATTATTATATTGCTGCTAATAAAATTGTATATATTGAAAATAGAAAGTTGTCTTGCTTATGAATGTTTAGACTTGTCATGGTGTCAGTGGGGACTAAAATGAAATGGAGTTTAATGTCCTACTGTTCTGCTTCTGACTGGGCTAATGAAGACGGGCATACGCCATGAGGGAAATTTTGCCCGGAAAGCGGCATTACAGCTTACTCTTTATCAGTGGGGACTGATAATTCTTAAGTCTTCAATGATTTATATAAATATACATTCGTTGTTTGGTAAAGAAGAGAGAATCTTTGTCTTAAGGTCATCATAAATTAACATCTAACTTATAGGAACATGTATTTCCATATAATTGTGTCCGAGAACCAATTACTAAATGCTGTCCAAACAATGTATTAAACTTAATCTTTTGTTTACATTACTTTAATTGTAGCCTGCTAACAATTTAAAATGCCGAGTTGTTATTTCAGCAACTACTTTAAATTAATTTTAATGTTGGCCATGGCACTCATAGTCTTTTCCCGCATGCTGGATATAGGTCTATGGATATAGCTAGATGCCATTGGTTGATAATTTTTCCATCCACTTAAAAGTGTTATTGGTAGTCAGTGCCAGTACTGTTCAATAGATATGTTCAAATGAATTTTAACTATAACTAGAAGTTGTAATATGATTTGGATGTCCTAAATGAATTGTTAATCATCCCCCCTCCCCATTAATTATCAAAATTTGAATTCCCTGTAGTGATCTGAGCAAAATGATCGGACTGACCATTCCACTTTGACTTTGGTGTTGCTTACACTACACTTTGCTGAGCAACAAGCTAGTCAATCTATAGCAGAATTTAAAAAGTCATGTATTATTTTATTAATTTGAATAAAAATACAAAAGAAATAATATAGTCAAATTAACTCTGGGTGGACATGCCAAATCAGAGACCCAGGATACAAAGAGTCATCTAATTCTAATTATTTTCGATTGTTTTTATTATACCACATGTACACAAGTAAACAATAACATAATATATAAATAATATAACAATATTTTATAATTATCACAATTATTAATTTTTATATCAATGATAAACTAACCATTCGGTTCTTGATTGTTTTCTCTGGTAGGCCTAGTACTGTAATATATCATCAAGGGATAGATAACTCTTGATAATAGCCACATCAGTTAACAAAATTATGAGAATGCTCATATAAGAGCAAAGGCCATTTCTAAGAGATAAATATATAAGCTGTGCACTAAGTGCGACAATTCAATACAAATGTTAAAGCTATATATTGAAGTCTTTTAAAACAATATCTCAAGTTAATACAATTATATGTACTATCACAAAATACAAAATGTGCCATGAATATTTATTTTTTGTATAATAAATTATCTTGACTATTGTTGCTGACATAAATTTTTACAAAAAGCGATTGCCATTTACAGGTCAGGATAAGGCTATTATATCTTGTAAATAACTTCCTGAATCACCTTTCAACATCTGATTAATCATATCTTTAAACCCTAGATCAACAGCTAATTTATACTGTGTTTTAATATCTTTACAACATGATAACAGTTTCTTAATATTTAAAATAATCTGGTCATTGGTTGATTTGGTAGTTGTATTATTACTACTGGTTATACTGTTAGACTGTTGATACCTAAAACAAGATACAACCATTAAAAACTAATGTAATACAAGATAAGATCAAATTAAAAAAATATTCTGGCTCTCGATAATCTTGCATCACTTAAAAAGGGCCGCATGACCTGTTTTTATTTAAAAAAGACAGGAAGTAACTCTATTAAAAATTTTGAATGATTCATGGAATGTGGCGTAATCTCATTTATCAAGTATGCAACACTGATAAATGTTACTGACAATCACAAATGATACTGGATAATCATATATTTCTATTAACAACATGAGAAAAATGTAGTGCCTTGAAAAATGATGTTTATAAGAAGTTATTTAACCCAGTAGTGATAATTTTACAAAATAAAAACACAAAAATATACCAGCGGCTGCCAGGCAGGATACGCCCACATTTGCAAGAGATGGATAGAGAACAAGCTAAAAACGCGATTTTTCGTACAATCAAGGGCCATAATTCAGGAAGTTACGATCTGATATGCGCAAATATCAAAAGGAACCAAGATCTTCGGGTTATAAATATGTATTTCAAGTTTCATCAAAATCAGATAAAAATTGTGGCCTCTAAAGGTTCCACAACCTTGATATGCCATATCAACGTGATTTTTCGTACAATCAGAGGTCATAATCCAAGAAGTTATGGTCTGATATATGCCAATATCGAAAGGAACCGAGATCGTTGGGAGATAGACATATATTTTAAGTTTCGTCAAAATCGAATAAAAATTGTGACGTGTAGAGTGTCCACAAACAAATTATGGATGGACGGACAGGGGCAATGACAATATATGTCCTGCATCAGATTTTTGGTTAGGAATTTCTTTTGTATGGCCTAATTGTTGCTAGCTTAAAACAATAACCTGTTTTTTGGAAAGGAGATTCAATAACAATTCTGGAAAATTAAAATTCTCGACTGTTGAATTTGAGGTTAGCCATCACACTGATGTTAGTTTCTATTAAGTAGCTTCAGCTAGAAGTGGTGACATATATCATACCTGAGACATGGTATGCTTACTAGTTCACATATCACAGGTTGTAAATTTGTATGATACACAAGAAATTATCTGAGCCAATGCTAGATATGGGTTACCTCCCTTTATAGAAATATATAAAGATTACGAAGGACTCGGACTGATGCATCTATACAAGTGTGAGTTTGATACAAGGGTTGTATGTGACAAAGAGTAGGGTCATCCAGGGAGGTAGAACAATACCCCTAAAGTTATTCGCCTGTCTCAACTGTGTCGTTTTTTCTCCAAAGAGTACTAACCTTTCTATAGCATCTTGAATTAATGCTGGTTTTAATTGAACATGTGACTTTAGATCTTGTAGGTAACGGAAATCTCCATTAATAATGACATTATTATAAATAGCTGCTGACCAATCACATCGCTTAGCATATGCTTCACTCACTATTAAGGTCTGAAGAAGAACAAAATATATATATCCATGATGCTTGGACTTTTAAAGATGAAATAATGATCAATTAAAATGTAGAGTGAAGATTTGTTTAAAGATGCTTATTATCTTTTATTCAATATTTGAATTCTTGTTAGTTCACACAATACAAACCAGAAACTACAGCTCATGGGTGAAAACTTAATTAACTGATGAAACAATTCAGATATATGAAATATAACAAACTAACTGCAAGGTTTCTTTTTTCTTCTTCAATTGTACAACCAATCAGATTATCTCACATCCCAAGTTGGTGTAGCAGTGTTAATGATATTTCAACCATTAGAGATCAATTTTGAAAGTTAACCTCTATACACCCTAAGTTATAATGAACTGTTTTGAAAATTGGAAATCATCCAATGCATAGGTATATATGTTTGGTTTACTTACATCTAGAAATTTTGGATGATGTTCCATGAGTTCTGTGAGTTGATCAGTAGATAAGTTTACAACTGTGATACCCGCTGGTAAAAGTTGTATCTGTAACGCCACTAATCGAGCCTGTCTGATACACTGGTGAGCATGACGAACACAGTTCTCCTGTAATACGTGTATAATAAACAATAACCCACTACTTCATAATTTGACAACATATATTTCTCAATATATCTAAAGGACATTGTTCTAGACCCATTTTCCATGTACACATTTTCTCAGACGGAATAATCAGTCTAATGCAATTGTAATGGGAAGTTGTAGCCGGCGAAAAAGCGTGTATGGAAAACCGACAACATATACTTCTCAATATATCTAAAGGACATTGTTCTAGGCCCGTTTTCCATGTACACGTTTTCACCGGCGGAATAGTCAGTCTAATGCAATTGTAATTGAAAGTTTCCATGTAACCGGTGGAAAAGCATGTATGGAAAACCAACCTTATAATAAAGTTCGAGATTTTTAAAACTTGAACACCCTGTAAAATATTTGAGACCATTAACTAGATAATAGCCTCTGTAAACTATGTGTGGCTTTATATATCTTATAAGATTTATTGATTTTAAAAATTATTTTTCTTGGAGGTTTACATATATTTTCAATGTATTTAGGATCTCAATTGTAGTGGAAATACATCTTTAAATTTTTAATAAAATTTATATTTAGAACATAAATAATGAACTTACTTTGACATATCGCTCTGCTGCATCAGCAAAATACTGAGCACTTTCTCTCAATGCATCTTGGGTCTCTTTATTGTTTTCTGAAATAAACCAAAAAACACTTTAAAAACATTTCTTCCACTGATACCATTTGTATTTGTGAAATCTAATTCATTAATGACTGTTTTTGCTATAGTCAACCAAAGGTATGAACTTACCAAGTGGCTTTTGTTGTAAAGATTTTAAACAACGTTTTCCTCTCTCTTCTAACATGTTGGCTATTTCTCGATACATCATAAAATTTAACGCTACCATAGTGTATGAATCATTATCTGCTGGATGAAATCTAGTCAAATAATCCAGGATGGCAATTTTCAACTTATCTTCCTAAATAATAAAAAAAAGAAATCATCCAAAATAAAAACAATGTGAAACAATAATTTACAACAAAAAAGTATGGTTGATCACTCACTGGTATCAGAATAATTCATCATAATTTATATTTTGAAATCAATAAAAGAATGTGTTACCTTTTCTATTCCTTTCCTCAGTAACATTTCAAACTGATAATGTAGTTTTAAAGCATCGAATATATAAGTCATCTCACTAAATCTTCCCACACCAGTCAATAATCTAATCTATAAATATACACATCAAACATACTTCATAATTATTTACAACACAAATCTAGTACAGTACATATACTATATAAAAAATCCACATAACCTCAAGACTGTGACAAAATTTTCATAAAGATATTCTGAATATGGTTCCTGAGATATGATCCAAACTATGGGAACATTTATTAACATGAAAACCCACAAAATATTCGTATGAGAATTGTATATTAATTGTTTAAAAAAATATATTTTACCATTAAAGGAAATTCTTCAGCTTTACTAAGATTATCTGTCATGATTCTAGCAGCTCTTAAAACATGTGATATACCTTCCATATTACACGCTATCGTATGACATTCATGGGCTAATACTAATAACTCTGTATGTAATGTTAATGCTGAAATATACACAAAATTATATTCAAAATTCAAGGACTAGGTGCATAGACATCCTAATGAAGGTGGTATTTTAATAGTAAAAATTATTCACGATGCCAGATCAAGCGAATATATATATATAGAGTAATACTGCTAAAAACATTTCTTTTTTCAATTCAATAAACTATAAAATAAACTATTTTTGCACCACAAATATAATAAAACTAGGACAAGTTTGATACTAGAGATATTAGGGATGTGTATAAAGTGAGTTATATGTCTACGAAAATGTTAATTCAGTTTACATTGATCTTTGAGTGTGAATGAAGGCCATTAATGCAGTGTATGTCTAAGGAAATGTTAATTCAGTTTACATTGATCTTTGAGTGTGAATGAAGGCCATTAATGCAATAAATTTACAGAGACACATACATTTTTTACATCATGTGAAACCTCTTTCAGTTTTCTACAAAATAAACATAACGCATAATGTTCGTGATATAATAACTTAGCAGTTACGCACCCTTAAAATACATAAAAAGAAGCTTCAGTAATTTGACGTCATTTGCAATGTTTGTGTGTGGTATCTAAGACATTTAAGTACATGTATAGTAATGTGTTCTTACTTGAATGAGTTATCTCCCCTGTATCGGTATTAACGGTCTGTAATAATCTATCACCAAGTATACTAGGATTTTGACATAGTTTTATATATTGTTCTGCACCACCAGAGTTTAATATCATTGTTCTATCACTGGTTAGAGTATCATTTGTTAAATCACTATCTTCATCACAGCTTAACGTCTGTAGAATTGAGTCAGCTAAAAATCCTGCTACCTACAATACATCATATAATTACAACAAATCTACCCAAAATGTCCCATATTCCACTGGAATTGGAAAGGACGAAAGAAGAAAAAGATTTGAAGGATTTATAGAACGTGATAACCTGATGAGGTGTATAATTATATGGAATACAATTTAATTAAGAAGATTATTTCTGGCAAGGTTTCGATGAGGGTTCTCTTGTCTTTATCAAGCAAAGAATGACAACTATCATAGTACAGTGAAGATATATATATAATATGGAATAATGAAAATATTAATATACAACCAGAGGTAATCCTCAAAACTTCGCCAGAAATAGACTTTTAAGTAACTTGTATTCCATATAGTTGTGTCATGTGTTATTCTCATTCAGCTACTAAGTGCCGCTAAAACAGAACAGGATAATTTTACTTTGTGGTCAGTCTTGTCTTCTAATCACATTCATGCGACATTTAATATATTTTTTGTGAACGTGATGCATTGTTTACACCAAACATTCAAAAAAATTTCTTACAATAATTACCTCAGTATCAGTCAGTGAACTTGTAGCTAAGAAATCTTTAGCTAAAATAAACCGTGCAGCAAAATCTGTATTTAATAGATCACGCAGGATATCAAATTCATTACTAGTCACCACATCTTTATATGACATCTCTAAAATCTGAAAAACACAGTGGATATATTTCACTATGCTTAAATAAGAAATGTTAAATTTGTATCCAATTCATTGTTTTATGAAATCTAATATAGTTTATATCACAATGAGTTCGAAAGATCACAATTTTTTTCATCTTTAAAATTTTGAATACTGATGGAACAAAGCAAATACTTCAGTTATATGCAGTAACAAAAATGTATATCTAAACTGATAATATTTTGAAAATAATTTTGAAATTATTCACTAAAGTGGACATTGTATTTTCACTAAAATTTCCATTTGTGAGCGCCAATATTATGCAAAATCAGTTCTTTATTTCAAAGGTAAAGAAATATCTTACACATGCTACTTTAAAGGCAGTTATAATTCTTAAACAACATTGTTGTCCTTTAACACAGTATCCTTGTAACCTCTCCATAGTTTCAATCACTTTCTCTTTCTCTATTGGTAGATTGTTCCACATTGATGTGGCACCAGATAAACTCATAGCTACAATAAACAATATAACACAGAATTCATTGTCTGTCATACCATCTTGGTTGAAAGCAGTATAAAACGCTAATATTTTGTTAATCAATTTGTGGTAATCATAAATATCACTTGGAATAAGAAAGATATACTACATAACAAATTATCAAGAAATATTCGTATTTTAGAGCCTTTTTAACATGCATTATGTGCCTATTGCAGGTCTTTCTTTGGGCCTTAAATGCTAAATAAATTATTAATTAGATATTTATTAATATGACAAGACCATAATCAACTCTCAATGCCATCGGATGGCCCCAATTTTAAGTAGATTAGAACAGTTCGGCCATTTGATGGAGAAGCGAGTCTAAGACTCGAATGATCGGTACGGTGGTTAAGGTCGATGTATACATCTTGTCAAAACTACAACCATTGATAACTTCGCTGAAATTTTCAATATATTCATTTTACATTATCTATTTTTGAAATATAGCGAGAAGGCCAGCTCTTTATCTAAATCTTACACAATGCCCCTTTAATATTAGAGGGAATGGAAGCTTATTGACCCTATTTCCTGATCAGTTTGTTTCCAATGAAATGTCGCTTGACATAAGTTAAGATATTAAACAGTTGTAAATATAAGGGAAACATGGGCTATATGCATTTATTGGTCACAGTTTTATTTATAGACTATTACATAGTCTAGTAATCATGTATATTTATGTAATCAGATAGGGATACAAGCTTTATGGTTATTTGAATATTATATACATCAGTAACATCACAATCCCGCATGTATCTTTTAATCTCATTTTCCCTAAACAATCAGCTTGCGTCTCTGGTTCTTGGCTGATCTCGCCTGTCCAACCTCGTGGGTTTTCTCCGGGTTCTCCAGTTTCCTCCCACTGCTAAATACCCCTACCCGCATGCGAATTATTGAAATAAAATGAACTATGTGTTAGTCCTGAAATGACCTAGTTTGTGTTGAGTGGATGTGGATTGGTTTTGATACTAAGCTTGTACCAGAACCACGTTGGATTTCGGCTGGTCCTCCTGGGTATTCCCACTGCAAAAACACCCTTACATACAAGTGAATTATTGGAATAAAACTGTACCATATGTCAGTCCAGAAACGATTGAGTGGATGATAAACCCCATTTCTCTCTCTCTCTCTCTCTCTCTCTCTCTCTCTCTCCCTGGATCCTAGATTGATACATCTGCTATTAATTTATACAGTACAGCTCCTTGAGAATTTAGCTTTGCCAAAATTTATTTTGGAGCTGATAAAAAATTTAATGTGACTTCTATAAGTTTTAAACTTACAACTAACAGATGTGGACATTAACACTGATACACTTTTACGGGGTTTAAACTGTGTCAATAATTTCTTTAACACTGGATCAATTTGGTCTACTTCTATAGATCCTATGCTTAATCTGATACAGGTCTGGAAATAAAAGATTAAAAACTGAATAACTCTTCATCTCAATTTCCTTTGAATATACTTACTATAAAAACATATGTACTTCTCAAGAATGGTGTTTACATTTGGCCATATAAAAGAAACATTTTGGCTCTCAGATAATCCTGCATTACTTAAAAAGTGCTGCATGTTTCATAAAAGATAAAAACAGTCTATTTAATTACCACACATAAACTTTTACCCTGGTTGCAGGAAGTAACTCAATAAAATATTTGAATGAATCCAAACATGTGCAGTGGGTTCATTTATCAAGTATGCAACTCTCATAAATATTATTAATAATCATAAATGTTACTGACAATCATAACATATACTGGATAATCAAAACATATACTGGATAATCAAACATTCCTATAAACAACATGGGAGATAAATTCAGTCCCTTGAAATGTAATGATGTAAGAAGTCATTTAGCCAAGTAGTGATCCTTTGACAAAATAAAACCACAAAAATAAAATCCTCCCTCCGGCATCATATTTTTTAGAAGGATTGTCTGAGAAGCAGAATATTTATTTTTGTATGGCCTTATCACCAACTGTTTTTAAGTTATTTATTCCAGTTGCAGCAAACTATTGGCAGTTACTACAGAAGGAAAGAGCACAGCAATTAGATTTGAAGCAAAACACAGTCAAATAAGACACTTTGTCCTAGGATTCCAGTGTAAAATGTCAGTGTAAGAGTAATAAAACTCATTGGGGGTGCTTGATTGTCAGTCCAGATTATCTCGAATGGACAGAATGGCAATTAAGTGATACGGAATTCAGCCCTGTCACAGTTCTGCCAGTACCTACAGCTGAGGTGGTTTGAGTAGAATGTTTCAATTGTCATGACTGGTTGATATTTTTTTATGCAGTTGGCACATGCGTTGTACTCTGAAATTCTCCTTTTCACTCGATTGACATTATTTTCAAAATTGAGAGAATTTAATTCTGGAACGTTTAATCGAGTATCCCCAATATAAACTTAAAAGGGACATAACTTGAGAGAGAACTGTTGTTGTTGTTGAATAAAAGTATTTTTGATTGTCTATTGTCTTGAAGTCTATATTTAACCTTTATTCCTGCATAGTGAGGCTTTAAGGAAGGTCAGATAACACAGCATGTTCTGTGTTCTAAAAGCCAAAAGGAAATGGTTAAAATTACATTATTCTTCTGCAATTTAATTGTGTTTAAAATAGGATAAATATATTTACTAGTATAATGGCTAAATCTTGACTATAATGAGAGAATACAGCAGTCACACGACAACTTTCTATAATATTTCCACCAGTTAATAATTCAGATATCAAAACATCTAAAGCTTCTTTCTCCTGAAATAAAATTTTCTTAAACATTATCATTTAAAAATGATAGAAGCGATATTTCAAGAATTTCATAAATTAAGTCTGTCTTTGAGTCAAGTGGATTGGTTTCGATTCCACACTTGTACGTGACCAGGAGTGTGGTCACCTGCTTAACCTTGTGGGTTTTTTCCGGGTCTTTCAATATAAATAAACTATAAAGCTACATTATGCATAATTCTGCTCTATATTTCTTCATTGAAGACTCTATAAAAAGGCTAAAAGAAAGGAATATGTAATTTATTTTCCTTCACTTCAAGATTTCAAACCAATCAACCAAATGTAAATATTTTTCTAAATCAATATCACCGCAAATTTCAAAAACTAACCTTTTCATCTAATGTAGACAATGATTCACCAGTAGCAGATGGCATCTTTCCATAATGTAGAAGTTCTGATTTTTCTGCCAGTTTCTTCCCAGATACTTCTGGCTGTACCGATGATAAAATTTCATCCAATGGCTGAACAGCTTCTGGACAATCAATCTGAAAAACAAAATGCATACAATTGAGGTATGTGTTCATACAATGTTCATATATCTCCTATAGTCTAGGTAACAAAACTTATGTTTTGGATTATAGAAACGATACTCGATTATATAGGAAACATGTTTATTAAAGGCTGTTGCCTTTCTATACTCAGTATTCACATCTTGACTATACAAGATTTTACAAAGAAAAACACATGGTTTCAAAATATGGCTGCCAACTCAACTTCTTACAACATTTTTTAACTCCAAAAAAAGAGAGTCAAAAAAAACAAGAGTTGTCTCCCTTCAATCATTAATCATTTCAGAACACACTCCCCCCTTATTGACGCGAGGTCAATAAAATACACTAAAATTTAACATAATTCTTGAGATTTGAACTCTTAATAACAAAACTCTATATCTTGGATACTATTCTTTAAGATGCATTACTCTATAAGATTCTATACTCAAATACTAAGATTCTATACTCAAAATATTAAGATTCTATACTCAAAATATTAAGATTCTAAACTCGTTACATGTACTAAGATTCTAAACTCGTAAATACATATATAACACTGATTTCTAACTGTGTACTCCAATACTTATCAATAATAAGATACATTCTCTACTAATCTCTAACCAACTCTATTGGATACAATTTCTGTATAGGTCGATTCATAAATATTATTTTGCCCTGTTTGTTCTGAACTCTTACAACAGCGGATCGCACGTTATTATCACGACCTGGTAAAATTCTATCAACTCTACCCATTTCCCAATTTAAGCGCGATACTTTATCATCAAATACTAGCACAATATCACCCTCACGTATGATAGGACCTGTTTTAACTCTGGAACGATGATGCTCGCGTAATTGAGTAACATAGTCATTCCGCCATCTTGACCAATAATGATTTATAACAGTCTGCAAGTATTTCTTGCGCTTGCAGAATTCTGAAGAGGTATTACCAACTACTTTAGGATTTGGAGTAAACAGCGGTTCAGACAATATCCTTCTCCCCAATACTAAATGCGAAGGGGTTAGGGGTTCTATACAATCATCGCTAAGATATGTAAGAGGACGCGAGTTTAAAACGCCTTCAATGTCCACTAATAAAGTCAGTAGCTCCTCATACGACAAATGAGCATTACCTAAAGCTTTTTTCAGGCATCGTTTAGTTGAACGCACCATACGCTCAAAAAATCCGCCCCACCATGGGGATCGTTCAATATTATAACACCATTTAATGTTCCTACTATTTGTAAAGGCTCGAAGTTCAGCACTCTTGAAAACCAATCCATTGTCTGAATTCACTAAAGTTGGTACTCCACGCCTTCCAATAAAACGTCGAAAACTCCTAATAAAAGAGGAAGAACTAGCGTCCGTTGCTAAATTTAAATGAACCGCGCGACTACTCGCACAAGTATACAACACTATGAACACCTTGTTCATCTCTCCACTCTTAGAATAAATGTCTTTAACGTATAATGGTCCAGCATAGTCCACTCCAATATTTGTAAAAGCGAAATCGTCAGAAAGTCGAAATTCTGGTAAAGGAGGCGCTAACGGAACTCCATAAGATTTACCTTCCATTTTACGACAAGGAATACATTTAGTAATCACAGCTTTAACAACTTGTCGTCCGCGACAAACCCAAAACTTTTGGCGCAACTGAACTAAAGTCTCTGCTGTCCCATTATGATGCACATCTCGGTGACACTTTTCAATAATCAAACTCGTAAAACGATGAGAATCTGGTAGGAAAATAGGAAATTTGGCATCAAACGGCAAATTAGAATTATCTATACGACCATAACATCTCAAAATACCATTGTCATCAGGTTTTAAATTAAGCGATAGCCTCTGTTGCTCAAATTTACGGCCACTCAAACTATGTTGAATATCTCTGCACCAGATATTTTCGGCACAATTAATTTCTTCCTTGGACAATTGATCTGTTTGGACTTGTACATTGTCTCTTTTATTCTTCACGAAACGCAAAACATAAGCAGTCACTCTTAGTAGGCTATTAAAGTTGCTATAGCGGGAAACGTCTAGTATATTTTCGATATTGTGATTAGTTTCGACATTTGCGACACAAACAGTTGCTTTCTTAACTTCAGAATAAAATGGTTCACTCAAAGTTTCTTCAACGTTCCTCGGCCAATTCTCTGTCGAACTTAGCAAGTATGGTGGTCCATGCCACCATAGATCATTGTTTACCAATTCTACTGCCTTGCATCCACGTGAGGCAACATCTGCAGGATTTTCTTTAGTTGAGCAGTAAGACCATTAACTAACGTCAGAAGAATCACGAATTTCAACCACACGATTATTCACGAACTGCTTAAACTCACGAGTAGTATTTTTAATCCAAGATAACGCGACTTGAGAATCAGACCAAAAATATACAGGCGCATCTACGATGTCCTTTAAAGCTTCTTTTACACATGCAGCTAGTCTAACAGATATTAAGCATGCTAGTAGCTCAAGTCTGGGTATAGATTGTTTCTTTAAAGGCGCCACACGCGTTTTAGAGGCAATTAAATTACAGTGTATTTCTTTAGTATCTGAATGTTCACATCTGATATATACACAAGAACCATACGCCTTTTCGGAAGCGTCACCGAATACATGAAATTGAATAGAATTCGCTTGCCGTAGTTCATAACAAATACAGCGGTTAATGTGCAAAGCCTTTACAGCAGATAGGCTAGACACTAAATTATTCCAATAATCACAAAAATTATTATCTAACGGATCATCCCAGTCTAAAGGATTTTCACACAACTTTTGAAAACATAGCTTAAACAGTAATACAATAGGTGATATTAAACCAACTGGATCAAAGAATTTCGCAGTTGTACTAAGAACCTGTCTTTTAGTTAAAGTTGCATTAACAATCATACTTGACAAAATTTTATCAAATTCGAATTGAAACATATCAGCGCTATTATCCCACTTTTGACCTAAAACACTGTTACAATCAAAATTTGAATTCTGAACAAAATCATTATAACCTGTATCGTCTTCGATTACATCAGTCTCCATTTTCTTAACATCAAATTCTACTTCAGGAAAATCACTGGACTCATGCAGCATAGACATTAACACTTGCGAATTACTACACCATTTTCTCATATTGAATCCACCCTGATTTAAACATAATTTAACTAATTTACATAAATCATAAGCAGAGTTTACATTATCTGCCCCAGAAGCAAAATCATCAACATACAATGACTTAAGAATATTATTCAAAATTTCAAAGTTATCATCCATAGAATTACTTAAGTGATAACGAAGGGTTGCATTTAAAATGAACGGACTTGAAGTCACTCCAAAGACCACTCTATTAAATCTAAACACTTTAATTTTAGGTGACTCGCTAAATGGATCATCATCGATGCTCTTTATAAATGGCAATGTTCAAAAATGCCTTCTGTATGTCAGCAGTCAGAGCGATGGAATTCATTCTAAAACGAAGGAGAATATCGAAAATAAGCGGATTTAAAGAAGGGCCCGAGTATAAACACTCATTAAGACTAGGTCCACTTGTTTTACACGAGGCATCATACACAACTCTTAACTTAGTTGTGTCCTTATCTAAGCGTAAAACTTCTCTGTGCGGAATATAATGTATTGATCCAGAATTAATTATTACATCATCATCATTTACAATATCAATAATACCTTCAGATAATTGTTCATTAATTATTCTATCATATTCTTTAAGAACATCCGGCTTACTATTAAGTCGATACAAAAGAGATGATAAGCGTTTAACACACGTAGAATAATTATCAGATATTTTAAGATGATTTTCTTTAAATGGTAACTTCACTTCATACCTTTTACCCTCAAATGTGATATTATCATTAAAATCTGACAAAACACTAAATTCGTCATTACGAATACCCAAAGATTCAAGCTCCCAAAACTTATTCAACTCAGACTTAATTGAAGATACATCACAATTGTCATCAGATACAGAACTAACGTGCAATACATGCGTATGACTTAAATTAATAGTACATTGGTCACTACTCGAATTATTAATTACAGGGCCAGACAGCACCCACCCAAGTTTCGTCAACATTGCAACCGGGCCAGGGAACTCCCCCCGTCTCGTTTCGCCACAAAAGAAATTCCAATAGAAATCTGCCCCGATTAATATATCTACTGCAAAATCAGAAGGCCCAGATGGATTAGCTAATTTCAAACCCCGTAGATGAGGGTACTTTACTAAAGCATTACATGTTAATTGGTCGCTTATGGCATTGCATATAGAAGGTACACAATGCGCTGTAACATACAAATGTAAACCATCATCACCTGCAACAGTAAATTGAACAATATCACATAATCGTAACTTAGGAGTTTCCTCCCCAAAAGTTTTAATAAGTAAATTTTCACGCCCCACAGTTCTTAAATTTAACAATCTACGTGTTTCATCAGTAACATATGTTCTTTGACTACACAAATCAAATACAATGTTCTTATACAATCCCCTAGAATTATCATTATGATTAGCACATACAAAACCTACAGCAGTTTGTAACAAAATAGAATTTTGATCATCTGTACACGTCATGTTAGATGTCACAGTTTGACTCGGTTGTCCGGTTTCAGTTTTATTAACATAACTAGGCCGCCTTAAATTTTGTTCAGGCCTATAAGTACAAATGGCTTTATTGTGTCTTTCTCCGCAGTTAAAGCATTTATAGTCACGATTAGGACAATTTCGTAACACATGTCCAGAGCGCAAACACAAAAAACACTTTGCTTTATGACGTAAAATAGATTTGCGAGCTGAAATGTCAGTAACAGAAGTGCAATTCACAGATGGGTGTTGCTGAGTACAAAACACACAGTACGGAACAGGTCTTTGATCTTTACTCGAAAATAAAGTTGAAGCTGTTGAGGGATTAACCCGGTTCGATCTGGATTGAGGACTGTATACGTTGTTCAAAGAATACCCGGATTTCTTGGTAGAATTACTATGCATTAAATCGACTCGCTCTCTAGCTTCAAGTTCAGTTTTTAAAATATCTAAGACCTCGTCCACACTCCAATCTTTAACTCCACGGCTAATAAATAAACGTAACTCTTCAGGAAGTTTATTCATGATAATAGGAATAAGAATATTACCATACGATTCAGACTGTACACCCATAGATTTTAGACTTCGTATCTGGACCTCAATGGTGTCGTATAATCTGCGAATATGTTTAACTTCACAACCACTCGTAACAGATTGTAAATTTAGTAAAACGTCCATATGCCCAGAAATAATAACTTGCTTATTTGCAAACCTATCTTTTAAAAGCTGAATTGCTGCATCATAGTTTTCGCCTATCAAGGACAAACCTGCTACACAAGAAGATGCCGGTCCGTCCAACAGACTCTTTAAATAATTAAATTTCTCAACATTTGAAATGGCACTGTTATTATCTACTGCAGCCTGGAAGCTATCCCAAAAAGGCTGCCACAACTTTGAATCACCAGAAAATCTAGGCAAACACAATTTTGGCAATTTAGTCTTACAGACAAAAGTTTCTTTCAATGAATTACTAGGGCTACTCAAATCAGAATTATCAGCTATACTGGTACTCAATTTTTCACTGGCCTTCTCATTCTTATGTAAACAAAATTTGATTTTATATAAAGTTCTATTAATAGTGTCCGCAAATTCACTTGATTCAAAAATATCATTACCCACTTCATCTTCGTCTTCAATATCTTCCAATACTTTTTCATCGTAAGATGCTAAAACAACTTTCTTTTCCGTTAAAGAAATTCTGTATCCTTCTAAACTTTCAACTGAAGAAGGAGATCCATCAAATTCGGCTAATAATTCTTGAACACTTTGAATAATTCGGGTAACAAAGGCCCTATGTCCCCCTCTGATGCGTTTGTTTTTCTTGGCCACATCACTACGCCTGTCTGCGTCGTTACTGGTCGTAGACATGATAATAAATGTCAATACTTTATAGGATTAAGATAATAAGGTCGACTGGCACATGAACTTAACTCAAGAGATTGACTGACATAACTGTATCCGTCTCGTCGGACCATGTTTTGGATTATAGAAACGATACTCGATTATATAGGAAACATGTTTATTAAAGGCTGTTGCCTTTCTATACTCAGTATTCACATCTTGACTATACAAGATTTTACAAAGAAAAACACATGGTTTCAAAATATGGCTGCCAACTCAACTTCTTACAACATTTTTTAACTCCAAAAAAAGAGAGTCAAAAAAAACAAGAGTTGTCTCCCTTCAATCATTAATCATTTCAGAACAACTTACTCACTGCCCCCAAAATGGGTAAGATGAAATGGGGTTAAATGTCCTACTTTTCTGCTCCGACTGGGCTAATGAAGACAGACATACCATGCAGTGGTCTATGAGGGAAATTTTGCCCGGACAGCAGGACTACTCTTATATCGAATTTTGTCAAGAATTCTTTTATGTGCGCGCCAATGTGCCTTTTTTTGTCCCATCGGTAGAGCTAAAATTAGATAAGAACACAGATATATCTGTACTCACCTTCTGAATATGATGCATAATACGACATTTCCACATGTGACAATAAAATTCATCTAATAAATCTTTATTCATCTCTGTACCTAGATCGACGACATGTTTATAACATAGACCATATATAACAGATTTCTCTTCTACATTCTCTATAACATCTACTTCTTTCTATATAATATAACATACAGTCTTATTAATGTATCATATCATATATATAGATATCAGATATACTGGCTAAATAAGATGATTAATGTGGCTATAAATACACGTGGATGTTGTGTATAAAATGAACTGGAATGAGGTATAACGTGCCACTGTTCTGCACGAACTGGGCTAATGAAGATGGGCATATGTCATACAGTGTGCTAAGTGGGAAATTTAGGCCAGACAGCAGCACTACAGCCTACTCTTATATTGAATTCCAACTGCCAAGGGTTCTTTTACATGCACGTCAATATGTACACAGGACATCATTTTTTCGCTCCCTGTCCTGCACCACTGAGAAAACAATGTCAGAAAATCCTGATGAAGTTTCTCGATCAACACAGGGATCGAACTTGGGACCTCCAGGTCAGTGAGCCATCGTATTGAAGTACAAGAGAATTATAATAACACCTAGGAGCCATGGTGGCTCAGTGAGTAAGGCACAGTCACTATTGCAGGAGATCCCAAGTTGGATCCCAGAGTCTACCGAGAAAGATCATTAAGATATGCCAGTCTGGATTCTCCTTGTCAATTGTGCAAAAGGCAACCCTTGCATTGATTGGTCTGGTTGATCAGATGGGATGGAAAAAACACTAAGTTCCTGTGTATATCAATGGCAGAACTTTAAGATCCCTGTAAGTTGGAAATCAATGCAAGAGCTTTCCAGGCAAAATTAGCACATGGCATATGTTCATCTTCATTAGCACTTAGTGAAGGGAAGTAAGATGTTCAAGTTAAACCCCATTTCATTTTATATTGGGGAAAGCAATTAGAGGGAAATATTCAATGACTCTTACCTGAAAGAATTGTGTAATAGCATCTAAAGCTATCTGATTATTCTGTTTAAAACATGTAGAACAATGTTTCCAATAGTTGATCCGAGCTACTCGTGATGACCATATGTTGCTGGATATAAGAGTCTTCTTATCGTTCTCCAACTGTATAAAAATAATAATAATCTCTTTCAAATAAATATATATGTCTAAAAATGTTAGTTGTGGACAATTAGTCTTCCAAAAACATCCAGGTTTAATTTGTATCAATTAGGATACAAATATTGGGAGCCACAGTGGCTCAGTGAGTAAGACACTAGCTCAGTAACCAGGAGGTACCAGGTTTGATCCTAGTGTTGGCTGAGAAATTTACTCAGGATATTCCAGTTGGTTTCCCTTTGTAAGTTATACAGGAAGGAAGCCCTGGCAAGGAAAACATCTAATCAATTGGATAGGATAAAAAAATAACTAGGTCCTATGTGTATACAAACTGCAGCACAGTTAGAAGTCAAAATAAGAATAGTACATAGAGTAACTGTCCAGGAAAATCTTTTTACAAGGTTTATGTCTGTCTTCAATAGGCGGATTAGTACAGAACAGTAGGAGGTTAAACCCAATTTCATTTCAGTTTTATTTTTACTCTTGGCCAGTGTAAATCATCAGTTGTATTTTGATTACCATCTAGATCTAATTGTATGGTTTTAGGTTAAGTCTACTCTTCGAAATAAAACTCTTGACAGTCTTTATTTAAAATATTTGCCAACTGACTTAACACCAGGTTTGACTCATTCCTTGCACATGATACTAGCTAGTTGTTACATATTTGGTTTCCTGTTTTGGAGGGTATATGTTTTACAACAGTCAAGAATTGATTTATCCCTTTGCTTCATTTCTTTAACATTACGTAATGCCTGCTCAGGGCTTTTTAACATCCCAGTTTAACGTCCACTCGATACAAACTAGGTCATTTCGAGACTAACATATGGTTCAATTTTATTTCAATAATTCGCTTGCGCGTAGGGGTCTTTAGCAGTGGAAGGAAACCGGAGAACCCGGAGAAAACCCACGAGGTTGGACAGGCGACCCTACTCCTTGTCACGTACAACCAGGGATTCGAAACCACGCCAGTTGACTCAATGACAGGCTTTATGATACAGCACGCACGTGCTAACCATTCGGCCATCCAACCCCCCATATTATTAATATAAACTTTTTTATTTATTATATATCAATAACTTTTTATTACTTATTTATCTATTTGAGGCTTACTAAGTAAAGTATTGTATATTATACAGGCTTATCATTTTACACAGATGTCTAGATTATGGTCATTTTTACAGGTAAAGAAAAGTAAGGTACATGTATTCATACCCTACAAACTACAGCCATAATATATTACCTGAGCAACTGTTATATAATCTCCATTTATTTTAGCTAATTCTGCAAATCTTCGAGCATCAATGAAAGACTTTTTTTCTATCATTTGATTGACAGCTGATTGACAAGCAGTTTCATATCTGGAATTGGTAGGTAACAAGAGGTCGGAAAATTTCTCCAAATCAATTTCATTTATGTGAAGAATTTCTGATAATTTATGTAGCTTTCCAAAATCTGGAACTATAAAAGAAACAGCCACATGAAAATATAATCTGTATTGCTAGCCATTGAAAAGGAAATTAGTCTGTAAGTTTGAGCTTTCATATTCAAATACAAAGACAATGTATGTCAAATATGCCCGTCTGACTCATGGACCGTGAAACTGACAGGCTGACAAGTATATACATGTTAGTCAATCTACATCAAATATAATCAGGTATTTCAAAGAATTTGAACTTAAAACGCAGTAAATAGAGTTAAATCATTGGGAACTGTTGTACGTCTAAGCTCTTACATATTTATTTGTTCTTTCTAGAAATCCAGAACACATGAAAATAATCTTACCATCAAAACTAAAAACCAGTGCTATATTTTCTTGATCCAATAGTTTAAGAAAATGTTGAAGTAAATAGGAGGATTTTAAATTTGTTAAATAATGTTTAATTATTCTATATACACTTTTTTCTAACCATAAACTATCATCTAATAAACTCAGATCTTCTTTCTCTTTCTGCTGTGAAAACTAGACAAAATAAAATATAAATGTAAAGTCAATAACTGTACATATGTAGAACATAGAAAAAATAATCAAAGTTAGTATTTACTTTGATTTTTTTATAGTCTGTATTATCAAAATTTACACTACAGCATATTGAAGACATTTATTTCAATTGATGGCAACTCGGATGGAAACTCTTCACAGATTTAATGTAGAAATAGTTGACCTGACCTGACCTGTCCTGAACTCTCATACAGCTGATCTCTTGATTTGATTTCAACCATTCACAAGGTTTACAGGAAAGCAGAAAAGAAAATTGCCTCTTCCTTGGTAAAATATTGAGTAATATACATCAAACGTTCATATTTTATATAAAGATACTACTTACACTATACATGGCTTCTTTAAAATCACCCAGATAATTTTTACAAGCCTCATGATCTTTACGTTGTATAAACTCAGCAGAAAACTTTAAGAAATACAGCAATGGAATCTCCTGTTAATATATAGAATGACAACTGTTAAACATATTTAGTAAGCCACTTATAACTCCAACAAGAATTTATCATTGAAACATTGGTGGAAATAAAGTGATATCCACAATATGTTTATTCCTAGTTCCAGTAGTTTCATGAAAATGAAAATTATTATATCATAAAGATGCATAATTATCATGAAATTCTTGAAAATGAATTTCTTTACAATGAGGTTAGATACTACTGGAGCAGTGGTGTGCAGAGATTCAGTGATGCCTGGGGCCAACTGCTTGATTTTATGGTCCAAAGACTTAAGTATAGGAGGGTTTCAAATTTAAAAAAAAAAAAAGATTTTATTTTGACTCTTTGATGGGGACATCAAAGTCCCCATCTCAGCAAGCCACTGTACTGGAGTGTTTACACGACTTGTGGATGAACAATATACAATCATTTATGATTGATTAATAAAACACTTACTGGTTGAAAGATATCAAAGGCAACAGCCAAAGTAAAATCCCAACGTTCCTTTAAATAAATATCCAGCAATATGTCCAACTCTTTCATTGACCATTTATATGCAGATGTCCCATAATTCCCAAGAAACTTCTTATGCTCACTCATATCCATCATAGCAACCAACCAGCCACACAGACATGGCAGTATAGCTGAATCCTGTAAAAAAAAATAGCTTAAATTCATCTTTCAAAACATATGTTGCCAGGCAAGAAAACATATGCCCATAGCAGTGTAATTATTCAAGCAGTTCATGCAAGTTGTTATTTTGTACTCCTTTCTTTAGTAAATAAAAATGTGCAAGGGCAAAATCTCTAGAATTAATTTATGAAAGTTTTTGAAATTCAATAGACTTCTTTATCTCACTAATCTGAATAATGCCTCTAAATCTCAAGCAGATCATCAGATAATAACATTTGTTGTTAGAGTAGTCATAAGATTCTACATGTAGTACCATAGAGGTTATTGTGACAAATCGATGAAAGTGTAAGTAAATAGGTTTGGTCACTTCTACATACAAAATTTTTAAAATGACTGGGTGATAAATGTAGATTGTAGAATGTAGACAAAATCATAACTACTACTACTACTGAATTTTCTATGAATCTAACAAAATTTGTTAATAAATTTGCAATGTTTAGAAAATAAATAAAAGAAGATGACTATTTACATTTTCACAGAATGCCAACTCAGCAAATAATGGATTTTTCAGAATAACGGAATGTGAGAGTAGCGATTTCCATGGTGATGGAGTATTCTGAGCATCAAAAACAACACCAAATACATCTTCCGCTGCAGATTCCAGTGTTACAGTAGGAACTAGAAATAAAAAAGAACAGGATATAAAAATATAAAAAATCTCTTAGATGTACGACAAGAACTCAAGATCTCCTAAGAGTAATTACATTTACATTAGTGTATATTATAAAATATTTTTTGGCCTGATATACTTAAGATACAGCCTACCTTCCTGTTCTAGTTTTATCAATGATTCTAAAGAAGGCGGTAAACTAATTTCTGCTTCTTCCTCACTACTCCACTCTTCTAAAAAAAATATAATCATATAACCGATTAACTAGAACTATGAATTATTGGATTTCTTTAATAAAAACAAACAAAAACAGACTACATGTACATTTACAATTTTAATTATAAACATTATTTTAAAATAAAGCAGCTTACCATTTTCTTTGGCAGTTGCGACACCGATTTTTGAATATAAAGATGACCTGACATCTTTAGTTCCTGTTGTCTTCTGCTTATCATCTTCTCCCTGTACTAATTTCTCACGGGGTGCTGCCAATGATTTAGCATCTGCATTTTCTATTACGTAATGTAGATGGTCTCGTAAATGACGACTGCGGAACTGATGCAGCAGTCCTTGAAGCTGAAATGAACAAGAAATAAATAAAGTTGTTGATTTCAGTGAATCTTAATATTTGATTTGTTTTGAGTTTCACTGCCAAAACAAGTCAATTTTGTTTCCATGGAAACATAGAAATGAATAAATCCTGAGAAATTTATAATTAGTAAAAAGCAACACTACATTAATACCTTGAGTTTTATAAAGATATCTTGAATGGTTAATGAAAGATACCCCAGAAACAAAACCAGAATAGACAGATGGAGCCCATTTCAATATCTCTCTATTAACTTTGTTTGGCAAACATCAGATTAATATTTTATTTTGATCCAATAAATCAAGAAGGTTTATTTAGCTTCTGTATTTCTTATTTTGTTGGTTTTATTTTTTACCTTTCATATTGTATTTATTGTTTAAAATCTTGTAGTTATGATGCAATATATAATAACATTTTTCTACCAGCATTGGGCATCTTTTGATTTTCCAAATATATAATTTACATTTGCAATTACCTGCTGTCGTGGGTATTGATGAAATTGGGCAAACCATATAAATGGAAGCCATTTGTCAGATCGGGCACACACTTCTAGAAATTTAGTTGTCAAGGGTAACCGTTGAAGATGACAGAATAATACAGCAAGCAACCATTTATCTGCTGCTTCAAAACTACAGCTGAAAAAAAGTAAAATAGTGCTGTTTCAAATTTAATATTCACTGAATTTAAATAAGTATTGTTTCAAATCTAAAATACATTCAATTTAATTAATTATTGTTTCAAATTTAAAATACATTCAATTTCATTAACTAATGTTTCAAATCTAAAATATGTTCAATTTAATTAAGTATTGTTTCAAATCTAAAATATGTTCAATTTAATTAAGTATTGTTTCAAATCTAGAACATGTTCAATTTAATTAAGTATTGTTTCAAATTAAAATACATTTAACTAATTGAAGTTACATTACTTGAAGAAAGATAAGTATATATTGCATCTTGTTTGTTTTTTTATAATTTATTTATACAACAGAATAAATTTTTTGTTCCAATTTACCTTGAAATATTGTTCTTCTGTATATTATCACTAATAGCTTGTTCTAACAAGATTAAAACTTTGGGACTATAAACCCTTCTCCTTCGAATACAAGCTCCAAGTAATGATACTGAAAAACACATAGATATTTTACAGCTATTAATATATCAAGATTTATTCATAAACATGCTCAGTGTAAAGGGAATTAAAGGGGCATCATGTAAGATTCTCACGATAATATTTCAAAAATAGATAATGCAAAATGAATATATTAAAAATTTCATTTAAATTACTTTATTTTAAGTGAAGTTAACAATGGTTGTAGTTTTGACAAGATGTGTGCATTAATAGTAACCAGTGTACTGATCATTTGAGACTTAGCCTCGCTTCTACATTTTTTAAATTAAATCATTAAATGGTCGAACCATTCTAATCTACTTAAAATTAGAGCCATCTGATGGCATCAAGAGTTGATTATGGTCTTGTCATGTTAATAAATGTCTAATTAATAATTTATATAACATATAACGCCCAAAGAAAGACATGCAATAGACAGATTTAGCTCTTACATAATGCCTGTTTAAGTATTGAGCCTTATTTGAGAATGGGCCTTTATGGGGCTAAACCTAAATTAAAGCCATTGACTGTCATTTTGAACCCTTTGCAAATTACAATATTGTGAAATTTTAATCTCTATTAATATTTTGGCGTTGTTTTCGTAATTAAATTTGTGTATATTTTAGTGGGAATTAAGTCGATAAAAATTAGATATTGTCCGGAAAATACGAATCACCATCATTGACTTTAAAATAAATTGTTCTATCATACAAAATCTAACATTTACAATTTTAACATAGGGCATTTAATTGACTATTTTCATGTCTAAAACCATAAATGGCACAATAACAACAACAATTATTGTGATTAAAATATTTCATTATACATTTAGACTCACTTATTTCTTCTTCATTATTTTTCATAGTTATTTTATGTTTTTCAATATTAGCCACCAATCCTGTATTTTTATATGATAATATAGTTGATGCTACTTGTAGAAAAGTTCTAATAGTTACACTATCTTGTCCTAACATATCAACAAAGGCAACACATGAACTAGCTATCTGTGCTCTATTAAAGTTTTTAACAGCTACCCACAAACTAATACCACACGCTGTCTGTATTCTGCAAAAAACAAAACAAAAAAAGGTTGCCAGGCAATGAAACACATTATCAGAGAGAGAGAGAGAGAGAAATGGGGTTTAACGTCCACCCGACACAAACTAGGTCATTTCGGGACTAACATATGGTTTAATTTTATTTACATAATTCGCTTGCGCGTAGGGGTCTTTAGCAGTGGGAGGAAACCGGAGGACCCGGAGAAAACCCACGAGGTTGGACAGGCGACCCTACTCCTTGCCACGTACAACCGGGGATTCGAAACCACGCCAGTCGACTCAATGACAGACTTTATGATACAGCGCGCGCACGCTAACCATTCAGCCATCCAACCCCCCTACACATTATCAGAGCAGTTCATAAAAATTGTCACATTGTGATGCATTGTGTAACAATAAGACTCAATCAGAAAATGCTTCAAAGTCACGAACATCAAAAATAGTTGAAATTAGTTATTGATGACAAGCGGCATCTCCACCATGTGGTATTGGGATCTCTTAACCTGTCACCATTCCGATGTTGTCGGATTGAGCAAACTCGCTAAAGCAGTTAAGTAACTAACGACGCCATGCTTTAGTTCACCTTACACCAGAATGTCAAGGTCATTTATTAACAATGGGAAATACGGTAACTCTAACAACAAGAATGAACAAAAGGGAATGAACTCCAATATTGTTGGAACGAACTACATATAACAGTAATTATACGACAGTAAATAGAAAAGAAGTCTTTATTCTGAAAAACATCTCTGAAGCACTGACAAGATTCTATCGCATAATCAAGGGCAGTAATACCAAAAGTAATTATCTGAAATTCTTATTTGTTGCAACGAAACAAAAAAACCATAAATTTCAAGTAGATCAGAGGATGGCTTATGTGAGCGAGAGAGAGAGAGAGAGAGAAATGGGGTGTCCACTCGACACAAACTAGGTCATTTCGGGACTAACACATGGTTCAATTTTATTTCAATAATTCGCTTGTGCGTTGGGGTCTTTAGCTGTGGGAGGAAACCGGAGGACCCGGAGAAAACCCACGAGGTTGGACAGGCGAGCTTATGTGAGCAAGGATAATAATATATATTTCCATATGATTGGCTAATAAATGTGGACAGCTGATAAATGTGAAAGACTGACAAATGGACAGACAGTGATATACAGTCAAATTTCAATGTGTATGTGGAGTAAAATTATATAACTTAAACATACATTATGGGAGATAAGATAACGAGATAGTGGTTCTCGCTATAATAGTTAAAAACTAGATAGTGTAAAGGTAATTTGCTGAAAATTTCAGTCAAATTGATCCACCATGAGCCGAGAAAGAAGCTCGTGAAATTTTGGCATAGTCTCGGTCATCATTACTAAAATCATTAATATAAACAGCAAGTCTCGATTATCCACTTTTTTTGATTTAATTATCAATGGTCAATAGCGGCATATAGGTATCTAATCCAGCCAACATCGAAGGCTAGCCTTGACATCGATAGTTTATTATGGTCTGGATAAGTTAATTAATGTCTAATTGATAATTTAGATAACATTTCAGGCCTAGAGAAAGACTTGTAATAAGCAGATTTTGCTCTTGCATAATGCATGTTTAATATAAATATTGAATACATTTATTCTGAAATAACTTTTCATTGGTGAAAATATAGCTGTATAAAACAGAGAAATAATAAAAAACCTAAGGGATCTAAAAGTTGATAAGGTGACACATGTGCATATATTATTTGGAAGTTCATTCGGCAACAATATGTCAAATTTCAAAGCTTTCCAGAAAGGTGTCTGGTAATAAAAGAATACAAATTTTACCTTTTATTATTGATAGTTGAGGTTCCTGGTGCTAATTCTTCTGCTAAGAAGGAAAGAAAGGCATAGCATGGTCTACCTTGTTTTAAGTAATATGTAAACTGAATTTTCTCTGAGTAAGCAAACTGTGAAACCAGTTCTGGTTGAGAAAAATAAGGCAATACTTTCCTACAATCTGAAAAATGAATATCATAGAATATAATAGAATAAACCTATTTATCTTAAGAATACAAAAATAATATTTTGGAATAAGACATGTAAAAGAGAGAGAGAAATAACTTTAATGTCCTCTCAACAATAACTAGGTCATATCATGACTAACATGGGGTATTTTTATATCAATAATTTATTCGTGTGAAGGGATCTTTAGAAGTTGGGGAAACCATATAGTATCCTGAAAAAACCAACAGACCTATATTTTGCACAGATAATATGTTTTATGTTCTACAGTATATGTTTGAATGGATTTTGTGCTCAAGATAGGGTATGCTGACCAGAACTATTGATATCCTTGTTCTGAGAGGATGTTAGAAGGATGTTTTTGACATAGAATAGATTCACATAAAAAAGAAACATCCTACACAGGTATAATATATTAGGATAATATCTGCATGCTTTTTTGATTTTTCGATTTTGATGGATTGGAAATACATAGGAGTTTAATCTAAATTTTTGAGGACCTAAATCAAAGAGGTCAAGTCATGTTATGTTACCTTCTCCAGCAAGCGTGTTTGAGTTCTGCCAACCAAATAAACGTCTTACATCAAAAGGTGCATTATCCTAAGAAAAAAACCGAATAACTCATAATCAATTAGTTCTAACACATTCTACAGACCGATTGTATGAAGGAAGGGGGGTGGGGGGATTGGAGTACAAGTACAACCACAAGGTTTGACAGGTTACACGTCTCAATGTTTTGTATATCTTGATCCAAAATTACCTCTTGACTAGAATCAAGATATTCCCTCTTGTCCAAGGTAGTGCCTACATGGCTGACAAGAAGTTAAGATAAATATTGCCTAGTAGTTCAGAGGGTACACAAAAAATATACATGTAGACTTACAAGTAATAAAACCCTTAATTGGCAGTTGAAATACAAGGAAGAGTAAGTAGAAATGTCGCTATGAAATGAAATGGGGTTTAACGTTTTACTGTTCTGCTTCGACCGGGCTAATGAAGACGGGCATACACCATACAGTGTGTTATGAGGAAAATTTTGCCCAGAGAGAAGCGCTACGGCATACGCTTAAATCGAATTCCAACTGCCAAGGGTTCTTTTACATGCACGCCAATGTGTACACAGGGCCTCGTTTTTTTTTCGTACCAACCAAATGACTAGACAGCTGTCCTTGTGGAATGTCGCTATGACCAATGTATTATGTAAAACTCCATTCCTTTCTTCAAATCTGTTTTCCTAACTTTAGTTATGGCTATCTAAAGTTCACAATTCTGAACACCAATTTATCTTTCTACAAAGATCAAGGTCAAGGCGGAACTTAACCTACAATTATTTGTTTCAATCCTGCAAATTACTGTATTAAGAACATTTTTCACCCACACTGTCTCTTTAATAGTTCTCTAAAAATTCAACTTTCTCAAACAGTTTGTTTATAAAACATTAAGCCATACAAAAAATATTCTGTTGCTCGGACAATCCTCCAAAAAATCTAAACTTTTCATTGATAATATAATATGGATCCTTACTTGAAGCAATTGATATATATTAATATCACATTGTAATGATTCCCGGCTAGATGGTACTAAAGCTGAATAAAGTTTAGGAAATGGTTTTAATGTTCTTTCTATTGTTAATTTGTCTATACCAGTGAACAGACCACTATCTTCTGAAATCTAGAAATGATTACAAATAATGTGTATTACTGGTCAGTTGAACATTATCTTAAAATGATTATTCCCAGAAAAAATATGGGTACCGAGTGACAAAAGTGTTTACATCAATATATCAAAAGCCTAAATATGAAGAAATAGTGCATCTAGTCTGTCTGAAAATTACAGCTCAAAACATTAAGCTGCTTGAAAATGATCACTAATTTTGTAATTTCACCATTCACTTATATGGGTGACTTGACAATTATGACAATCTAATAGTCTTCTACATTGGATTAACCAGCTTGATTGACTAAACATAACTGGGAAGGCTCCTTTAATAATGTCTAGCACACATATGCTTTTTATTACAGATATGAATTTTGATTACAGTTGTTCAGTTTATTGTTAGCTACTCTAATATTAATATTATTATAAGTACTCAGTTACCTGATGTACAGGACTAGGAGAGAAAGGAAGTGTTGCTATGGCAGCCATCACATGATCTTTTACCATCATGTCAGCCAAACTAAGGTCAGATGACCAAATATAACAAGAAGAGGAGAAACTTGCTTCAAATATAGCATCGGAACCTGTAACAAAACACCATATCAATAACTAATTAAAGATCTATTCCTTCGAGATCAGAGATTCTAATTACATAACCATCGTTAAGAGGAAATATCTAAATAACAGGAAAAAATATCATTTGTTGCCCAAAATAATAAACTTAAAAAGTAGTATATGGGGATGTCATTTCTATTGCAAATCTGAAAAAGCAGCCATTATCACTAACACTCATTTATTTCTAGCCTATTATCACTTTCAGTTTATAATTTCTGTTAAAAGTAAGTTTTGGAGTTTGGAGTAGATGACTTAATTAACAAATCAAAAATTTTGTATTTTTTCCAGTACTAAATTAGTCATGGCATAGAATGCTGTACAGGGAAGCATTTTTCAAAATATTTGCAAAAAAGTATAACGTCACCTGCTAGCTTAAAATTTAAATTTCTATATAAATTACTTACATGAAGAAGATTGTGAAATTGTAAATAATTTACAAAAATAATCAAACCATCGAACCATGTCAGGATTTTCTATATGAATTTGATTTAGTTTTAATCTAAGAGAAAAATAGATATTGTTAAAAACAGTTGTTATAGCTGTTGATCAGATTATCATAGCTCTAAGAAAATGTTTGGTAATACTTTTCTGCATCGACTGGACTAACGAAGATGGGCATACGACATGCAGTGTGCTATGAGGGAAATTTTCTGCTACTACCTACTTTTATATTGAATTCTTACTGTCAAGGGTTCTTTTACATGCACCCCAAAGTGTTCACTGAACCCGTTTTTCATGCCATCTGAACAACTAGACAGCTGTCCTGGTCAGGCCCTCCGTCATGCACCATGGACAGGGGGAACCACTTCAAATATCCTGAGGAATTTTCTCAGCCAACACAGGGAGCGAACCTCAAGGCTAGCGAGCCAGCGTCTTACTCACTGGGACACTGCGGCTGCCTGGTCATATAATACCTTGGCAGTTATTACACTGAAATACTTGATACATTTCAGAATATTTGTCAGAACTCCATCTATAATATTGTACATTCACGATCAAAGCTAACATTGTATTATTCTAGACTACTGAATGTTTGATTTGGAAACTTGAAGTATTTCAAAAATACATACCTGTGTACCTGGCAGTATCTCCATAATGGTAATACTAGTTGCTGATTGGTACAATAGTTGATAAATGTCAGATGGAAGAGGTCTAGGTCATGTATATTAGTTAGTGGGTGTGGTTTTTGAATGACTCCACCCACCTTGACTAGATCTTCTAATACAGGTAAAATATCACCATGTATATTTTCTGTAAATAAACCTTGTCTGAAAAAAAGATGAAATTAACATCAGTAAGAAAATATGGAAGTTGAACATTACGAATTTACAAAAATTGACACAGAATTCTGGTTTGTCTATCAACATAATGGAATGAAGCTTATTGACACTACATGTATTTCCAGACCTAATTCTAGCTTCTATTAACCCCATCAATGTTTGACAAACAAAATTTTGAGACAGCATCCACGATGTGGTGTGAATAGAATTGTGACATAAAACAATAAAGGGAGCTTGTTTCTGCAATGATGACTTGTGGGATAATAATTCTATTTGGTTGGGGTATTTTTTGTTGCATAAAGTCTAGAGTTTACTCGATACTCAACTTTATTGGGATTGAGAGAATTTGATTTTGAGTATCCCCAATAAGACACATTAAATATTTCCACATTGGCTAAATCAAGAATCCTATGATATTGTTGGCATCAATCAATTCATTCATTTATTCGAACTTCGGGAGGAATGTTTAGCCCAGGTAACTTTTTCATCAATAATGAATTTTGAAAATTGTATGTCCATGTGAAATGTAAAAAGTTGGGAGTTAATCCCTTCTATACGGTCTAATAAGCCGTAACTGGGTACTAGTAAGATAAGTGCATTAGTCTGAACGTAATCTGAAAATTATCTTACAAAAAAATATGAATGTTGCCAAGAAATGACATACTCAGGTAACTATGTCACTAACTTCATTTTGTAATCTATGACCCAAGAGAATTTTATGAATCAAATCCAAGATTGAATCTCAGAAAAGCACCAAAGACATTAAAATTATATAACTTGACATTACTTTATAAGTTCTGTGGTAATCAGCAGTTTAATATAACTTCCAGCATATTTTAAACTTTGCCATAACCAGTCAGTCATATTCTGTCTTTCCTCAGCAGATTTTGATCGTAGTTGTTTTATAATTAAATCTAGGAGGTAAACAGCTTCTGTCTTCAAGTTGTGACTCAAAACATATTTCCACAATAATCTGTGATTCTTGTAATCTTCCATATTGAAATCTAGGAGGAAAGATATGATTTAATGATAATGATTGGGTCTCGAAACAAAGCTGGGATGGAAGGATAGACTGATAGAAGGGGTATATAATTAAACTGATATTGTTCATTTATAAACTACATGCCTAATGTTTTATGGATGATCTGCTAAACATCAAAAAAGGAATAATTGTAAGTGAAGTATTTGTGAAAGTGTGTGTGTGTGTCAGGGAGGGGGTTCTTGTGATGCAGCGACGAATATTTTATCATTCCATCCAAATGATCAGAAGCCTATCCTTGAAAGGCCTTTCCTCCTGCACCACCATCAAGGGGACACCTTCCTCAGACAACACTGAGATCAAACACGGACCCCATAGTGAGTCAGCAATTTTCTCAGAAAACACTGACATCAAACCCAGATCTCATGGTTGGTGAGTCAGCAACTTTCTCAGAAAACACTGAGATCACACTCGGACCGCATTGTTAGTGAGTCAACAACTTTCTCAGACAACACTGAGATCACACTCGGACCGCATCGTTAGTGAGTCAACAACTTTCTCAGACAACACTGAGATAACACCTGGACCACATGGTTAGTAAGTCAGCATCTTAGTCATGAAAGATACATTCTTCAAGAGCTAAATTTGCCTATTGCAGGTCTTTCTTTGGGCCTTAAATGTTATATAAATTATTAATTAGACACTTATTAACATATGGTTTAATTTTATTTACATAATTCGCTTGTGCGTAGGGGTCTTTAGCAGTGGGAGGAAACCGGAGGACCTGGAGAAAACCCACGAGGTTGGACAGGCGACCCTACTCCTTGCCACGTACAACCGGGGATTCGAAACCACGCCAGTCGACTCTATGACAGACTTTATGATACAGCGCGCGCACGCTAACCATTCAGCCATCCACCCCCCCCCGGATGTAACAGAGTGCCGGAGTGATCAGAGGTCGGATGTGACAGACTGCACTGTACAAAAAATACAAACAGTGATAACTTGGTTCAGAATAAAGTAATTTGAATGAAATTTTGAATATATTCATTTTGCATTATCTATCATAGCAAGAACAGACAGCTCTTTATATCTAAATCTTACATAATGTATCTTTAAACCACAGTGGGTCCTACTATGTGATGCTTCATATAATATTATTTTCTAAATCTATATCAAATACATCTTTTGAGAAGACATCTTCCGTAAAGTACATGTATTAATGGCTGTTGTCCCACACAAATAATGAACAAAATCTCACCTGATTTTAAAATTATGGTATCAAGTAAAACTCTTTCTTTAGTTTCTTCATCCCAGTATGTCACCCAATCTAACAACAATGCTGAATAAGGCCCATCTGTTTTCTCGGTATTACCATGGTAAATATCACCACATACCTGAGATAGGTCACTCTGATTGTTTGATCGACTTCTGAAGAGTGGATTGGTTTCAGACCACTGAATACTGATAAAAAGATAGGTTGATGGTTTCAATATAAATGCAGTTAAAGGAAATGAAATGAGGTTTAACGTCCTACTGTTCTGTTCCGACAGGGCTAATGAAGACTGGCATAAGCCATACAGTGTGCTATGAGAGAAATCCGATGCAAAGATCGAACATGGCACCTCCAGGTTAATTACAGGGCCACCATGGCTCCTGTGGTTAAAAAAAGGATGATATTGTTTATTATTTGAGACTAACAAGTACATTTCGAAGGGGATTTATTTGCAGATAGTCCCAAAAATGTTGAATTCCAACAAGGGCCAAGAGCCACATCATTTTTTAAACTCGGTTCTCATGCGTTAGGGGTAGCGTCTACGGGGCTCATAAGAAATATGTAGCTAGTCCGTTTTCTTTCCAGCCCAATAGGAGCAGAACAGCTGGATTTTAAACCCCATTTCATTTCAGTTTTCTTTCCATAATATAGGCTGCCACTAATTCTGAAAACCAGTTTGTGGTGCAACAAGTTAAAAGATTTGAGATCTTATTCAAAACTTGTTGTAATGATCCTAATTGAATTAAGACCCTGCTGAACAATATTAAACTTGCATATGTGTAATTTTACTGGTCAGGGTCTATGACAAAAGCATAAAAGTGTGAAAAACAAAAAGAAAATTGTATGGTGGTGCTGACAACAAACCATCCTATGGAAGTATTAATACAATCAATACCTACCTCCTACTATAGGAATTTTTTACAAAAAAAGCTTGGCTGAACGAATGTAGAGGATAATGTTTATTTAATATTTGGATATATTTTATCAGTTCTTGTTGTGTTTGGTTGATGTCATCAGAAGACTGGAGTTGTTTTAATATAAACTGTTGTAAATTATAGTCGTTGACATATAAAACAATATCCCACAGTTTCTCTATATAGTCAAATCCCTGCAGAAAATAAATAAGTGTATTTATAAATAATGTTAGAACAGTAGTGTGTGCTTATGTAAAACATTTATTTTATTATTTCGGACCTAAGCAGATCTTATTTTTAACAACTAATGTATATGTTTATATACAGGCTTTGCCTGTTGTTCAGTCCTTTTCAACTGTTTAAAATATTGTTTTAACTAAATAAAGGCTATATTTACAAGTGACTGTTGTTCAATCCTTTTCAACTGATTAAAATATTGTTTAAACTAAACAAAGGCTATACTTACAAGTGACTGTATTCAAACCATTTCTCTTGAAAAACTAATTACTCACCAATTGTAATATGATAATTTTTGCCATTTCTGTTTCATGCTTTGCTAAATGAGCTACTGCTGTATTAACACCAATTTTAACCAACTGGCTATAACTGGTTTGCTTCCCCTTCACCAACAGATGGTGTTGTAATTCAGGTAAATCATTCTGATTTGCGGCTGCTTCTATCGCTTCCTATAAAATATACAAATTATTAAAGACGCATTATGTAAGAGCTAAATCTGTCTAATACAGATATTTCATTTGGTCTTAAATGATATACAGTAAACTTCACATAAGTCGGATCTAAGTGGACTGACCAATTTTATTCGAGTTAAATCCTACTTGCATCCTTAAAATATCAATCAACAGAAAGAAAAAAACATTTTAGATGTGACCAAGTAGCTTATAATATAATATTCAGATTTCATTTATACAGTTTACCAAATTTCATCAGCTACAGCATCCTTCATACTTTGTAATATTTAGATTTGATATTTATACAGTTTACTAAATTTCTTCTGCCATAACCTCTTTCACATCGATGCATCGATACTGAAGATCAAATACTACCTTATATCAATAAACCGAACGGCAAACAACAGGAGAACAAGTTAACTTCAGAAAAAAAGCAAAAATGAATCAATGGGTTTTTTTTTTTTTAAGTTCAAAGATGTTTGTACAAGAAAAAGTAATATGAAAGAACTTTACCTCAATGCCCTTGTCTAATGGATCTATCTGACTGCCATCAACTTCTTCCATGATACCTGTGACATCTCTAATACTAGATTGTTGTCTGTATGGAGATTTAACATTTACAAGTTTTAAACAGCACCGTAATTCAGCTATAAAATTCATCAATAAATCTAAGGCCTTTTGTAAATCTTCTCTTACGCGATTGTCTCCTTCACTTGTCCCCAAAGACTTTGACACTTCTAGTCCATCATGCAAGTTGTCATAAAGGAAATTCAATGTCAAGGTTAAAAGATTGTGGGCAAAGTAATGTGATTGGTTATGGGAAGCACAATCTTTCACTGTATCAACCAATAGAAATAAAGCAGGTTCTAAGTTCTTTATGTTGCCATAGTGATGAAATGTTGGTTGCCATAGGGATGCTTCTTCTACACTAGCTGATGGTGAGATGGGTGGTTGGTGACTTGAAGCAGAAAATACTGAAATAAAAACAGACATACATGGTGAATAACAGTTATTACTATTTGATGTATACGTGTATTGCACAAACTGAGTTTGTTCTCTTGGATTTTTGTCTTAAGGCTTGTGAGAATAATTTGTTTATGACCTTACATTGAAGTCAAATGACAAATTATTTAAATGAATAACTTGTATTTGAAAATAAAAATATAACAAAAGGCGTAGAAATACAGAATCAATTGACTTACATCTTTCTTTACTCTTCAAGAAGAAAGCTACAGTATCTAATTGTCTATGTTTTAAGCCTACTTCTAGGGCTGGTATAGGTATTGAACCTCTCTCCCATTTATTTAAATGACATAACTGATCAGCTGATGATGCCCCACCATATAACATCATCTGAAATAATTTAATCCAATCTGATCTAAAACACTAAATAAAACAAATTTTGTATAAGTTAGTGGTCTTGTCTAAAGCAATACGTTCCCTAGGTTATTATATAAAACAAATTTTAATATTAAAGGAAATAACAAACCACTTAAGAATAACTATGTGTGTATTTAAAGCAGGATAATCTCTCTCCTCCGTAATTTCAAAATTATTGTACAAAAGTGCCAGGTAGTACAATAATTAGTTATGTTCTACTTTTGTTTTAAAAAAGCAAGGAAATATCTTCCAAACTGACACAGCAGTTCAACTATATACTGGAATGATCATGGTTCCCACTGAACCTAATTATAAAATATCAAACTGATAATTACCTTACTGACCAACTCTTCTTGTGTGTCACTCTTTGATATAAAAATTAAATACTGTCTGGATATGACTAAATGAGGAAAATCTGGCTTGTTTGATAAAACTATTTTCTGATCTGAAGGAACACTGAAGAATCAAGTTTAATATATTACTAAAGGTGTTGAGAGAATAGTTTTCAATCAAACTAAAACTTATACCTGTAATCCAATTACATGAACGACAGAGACCAAAAGTCAAGCACTCTCGATAATACTGTAACTTCAGTTCATCGGAATTTGTGTACACATTGGCGTGCATGTAAAAGATCCCTTCATGGAATTCAATATAAGAGTAGGTCATAGTTGAGCTGTCCGGGCAAAATCCCCCTTATAGCACACTGTATGGTGTACATGTATGCCCGTCGTCATTAGCCCAGCCAGTCCCTTATAATACTGCACACATGGACGACACAGACCAAAAGTCAAGCACTCTCGATAATACTGTAACTTCAGTTTCCGGCGTGGTTCTCCCTTGTCAGTGATGCAGGACGGAGGGGCTGACAAGGACAGCTGTCTAGTCGTTCGGATGTGACGAAAAACCAAGGTCCCGTGTACTCATTGGCGTGCACGTAAAAGATCCCTTGACAGTTGGAATTCGATATAAGAGTAGGCCGTAGTGCCGCTGTCCGGGCAAAATTTCCCTCATAGCACACTGTATGGCGTATGCCCGTCTTCATTAGCCCAGTTCGGAGCAAAACAGTAGGACGTTAAAACCCATTTCATTTCATTTCATTGCATTTCTGTAACTTCAGTTCATCGGAATTTGTGTACACATTGGCATGCATATAAAAGATCCCTTCATGGAATTCAATATAAAAGTAGGTCATAGTTGAGCTGTCCAGGCAAAATCCCCCTTATAGCACACTGTATGGTGTACATGCTGCCCGTCGTCATTAGCCCAGCCAGTCCCTTATAATACTGCACACTTGTTTAATACTTGACTCTTGTTTGGTGATAAAATTCTGAAGTTGTATTTTGTTAGTATATAATGTTAACTTACCTATGTGAATAAAATTGTTTTTTGGGTAAATCTATAATACACAGCACTTGTTTATTATCTACATTTTGAAACACAATTGATACAGTTTGTTGATTTATAACAATTTGCTCAACTTTATCGTTTTCAAACCTTTCTGGGATTGGATAAATTTTGTCAAACATTGCAGATAGCATTTCTGTCTTTGATTCAGAAGTCTTTGAAAAACCCGAGATTTTGACACCTTGCTTTGATGACTTATCAAACAATTGTTTATACCAGGGTTCACTTCGTTTCTGTATATCTCTGTTTAAATCAGACAAATTTTCTTTCCACACTTGATCACCAAAATGACAAGTGTAGAATGTTTGATTGATGGAGTAGTTGTCGGAGCTTCTATTATTTTCGATCAAACAATTTGGATTCGATAGAATGAAGTCCTTAATGTTAATATGATAAATCATTTTGTTACTTAATATCAACAGGTACGACAAATCATGAGACATTGTCCATGACAAGATATTTCTCCATTCTATTTCCATTTTATTTAAATTTATTTTCCAAATAAAAGAATTTTTTACAACATCATATGCAGCTGAAACCAAATTAAGGAAAATGAAAAGAAACTATGTTACATCTATTTGAAAGAGTTTGAGCTCATAATTAAAACAAGCTGCGACCACACATACAGATTAGACATCAACAATCAAGATACACCTTGCAATATTGAGTATATTCATGTCATATACCTATTAAAGTAAAAAAAAAAACAACTGCCATTTTGAACCTGAAGTTATACTTCAAGATCAAAGGTTTTGATATTATTTGTTATAACTGAATATAGAAAAAGATACAAATTTGTACTTGGTCAGTTTGTAATACCAGTAAAGTGTCAGCCACCATTTGATACAGACATGATTCATCAGAATTTTTAACAGGTAAAATGAAGACTTCAATTGTATAGGGGTCATCCTGACTGACTTGCACTGTTGTGATAATACTGTTGTTTACTAATAATAAATCATTGTTTCCTACACAATGAAGAATTTTTACAAAGTTAACTTCTTTGATACCTGAAATATAGACAAATTAATGTACATACATTTTAATGAAATAAAATAAGGTTTAATGTTCTACTTTACTGACGCATACACCATGCAGTTTGCTACAGTGTATGACACTAGTTCTTTTACATGCACGCCAATGTATGTCCTGGACTGCGGTTTTTCATCCCATCCGAACAACTAAATGCAGTTCCTTGCCATACTCTACAGTCTCCATTATGTACCATGCAAGGAAACCCTGAGGAACTTACTCGCCAATACCAGGATCAAACATAGGACCTCCAAGTTAGTAAGTCAGCGTCTTAGTTACTGAGCCTGCACTGCTCCTACAGATTTAAATATATTTTCAAAACAAGTGGCTTATATTTATGAGTTTACTATGTCCACACACAGCTTTACACATCAGAGTTCAGCTTATGATAATGTAAACTGTTAACGCCAGTCGAAGGGTGGATGAAAGTTATGATATAACTCCACCATGTTGCTGCTCGTATGAACTATAACCAGCGGCTGCCAGGCAGGATACGCCCACATTTTCGAGAGATGGATAGAGAACAAGCTAACAAGAAAGTGATTTTTCCTACTATCAAGGGCCTTAATTCAGGAAATTACAATTCAATATGCGCGAATATCTAAAGGAACTGAGATCTTTGTGTTATAAACTTACATTTCAAGTTTCAACAAAATCGGATAAAAATTGTGACATTTATAGGGTCCACAACCTTGATATACCATATTTTTACGCTATTTGAAAACAAACGGCGGCCATTTTTTCTGTCAATTTTAGGTTGATTTTCACGAAATTCGAATTCAGTCTTCCTTAGGGTGTAACAGTGATATAATAATACAGTTTATTAAATTGGATAAAATCATGACCTCTATAGGGTCCACAAGCTAAAAACGCGATTTTTCGTACAATCAGGGGCCATAATTCAGGAAGTTACGGTCCGATATGCGCGAATATCGAAAGGAACCAAGATCTTTGGATTATCAACTTAGATTTCAAGTTTCAACAAAATAGGATAAAAATTGTGACCTCTATAGTGTCCACAAGCTAAAAACGTGATTTTTCGTTATGGTCCGATATGCGCGAATATGGAAAGGAACCCGGGATCTTTGGGTTATAAACTTACATTTCAAGTTTCAACAAAATCGGATAAAAATTGTGACCTCTATAGGGTCCACAACCTTGATATACCATATTTTTACGCTATTTGAGAACGAACAGCGGCCATTTTGTCTGTCAGTTTTGGGCCGATTTTCACGAAATTCAAACTCAGCCTTCCTTAGGGTGTAACAGTGATATAATAATACGTTTTGTTAAATCGAATAAAAATTATGACCTCTATAGGGTCCACAAGCTAAAAACGCAATTTTTTGTACAGTCAGGGGCCATAATTCAGGAAGTTACGGTACGATATGCGCGAATATCGAAAGGAACCGAGATCTTTGTGTTATAAACTTACATTTCAAGTTTCAACAAAATCGGATAAAAATTGTGACATTTATAGGGTCCACAACCTTGATATACCATATTTTTACGCTATTTGAAAACAAACGGCGGCCATTTTTTCTGTCAATTTTAGGTTGATTTTCACGAAATTCGAATTCAGTCTTCCTTAGGGTGTAACAGTGATATAATAATACAGTTTTTTAAATTGGATAAAATTATGACCTCTATAGGGTCCACAAGCTAAAAACGCGATTTTTCGTACAATCAGGGGCCATAATTCAGGAAGTTACGGTCCGATATGCGCGAATATCGAAAGGAACCAAGATCTTTGGATTATCAACTTAGATTTCAAGTTTCAACAAAATAGGATAAAAATTGTGACCTCTATAGTGTCCACAAGCTAAAAACGTGATTTTTCGTTATGGTCCGATATGCGCGAATATGGAAAGGAACCCGGGATCTTTGGGTTATAAACTTACATTTCAAGTTTCAACAAAATCGGATAAAAATTGTGACCTCTATAGGGTCCACAACCTTGATATACCATATTTTTACGCTATTTGAGAACGAACAGCGGCCATTTTGTCTGTCAGTTTTGGCCGATTTTCACGAAATTCAAACTCAGCCTTCCTTAGGGTGTAACAGTGATATAATAATACGTTTTGTTAAATCGAATAAAAATTATGACCTCTATAGGGTCCACAAGCTAAAAACGCAATTTTTTGTACAGTCAGGGGCCATAATTCAGGAAGTTACGGTACGATATGCGCGAATATCGAAAGGAACCGAGATCTTTGTGTTATAAACTTACATTTCAAGTTTCAACAAAATCGGATAAAAATTGTGACGTCTATAGGGTCCACAACCTTGATATACCGTATTTTTACGCTATTAGAAAACAAACGGCGGCCATTTTTTCTGTCAATTTTAGGTTGATTTTCACGAAATTCGCATTCAGTCTTCCTTAGGGTGTAACAGTGATATAATAATACAGTTTTTTAAATTGGATAAAAATTATGACCTCTATAGGGTCCACAAGCTAAAAACGCGATTTTTCATACAATCAGGGGCCATAATTCAGGAAGTTATGGTCCGATATGCGCGAATATGGAAAGGAACCCGAGATAAAAATTGTGACATCTATAGGGTCCACAACCTTGATATACCATATTTTTACGCTATTTGAAAACAAACGGCGGCCATTTTTTCTGTCAATTTTAGGTTGATTTTCACGAAATTCGAATTCAGTCTTCCTTAGGGTGTAACAGTGATATAATAATACAGTTTTTTAAATTGGATAAAAATTATGACCTCTATAGGGTCCACAAGCTAAAAACGCGATTTTTCGTACAATCAGGGGCCATAATTCAGGAAGTTACGGTCCGATATGCGCGAATATCGAAAGGAACCAAGATTTTTGGATTATCAACTTAGATTTCAAGTTTCAACAAAATAGGATAAAAATTGTGACCTCTATAGTGTCCACAAGCTAAAAACGTGATTTTTCGTTATGGTCCGATATGCGCGAATATGGAAAGGAACCCGGGATCTTTGGGTTATAAACTTACATTTCAAGTTTCAACAAAATCGGATAAAAATTGTGACCTCTATAGGGTCCACAACCTTGATATACCATATTTTTACGCTGTTTGAGAACGAACGGCGGCCATTTTGTCTGTCAGTTTTGGGCCGATTTTCACGAAATTCAAACTCAGCCGTCCTTAGGGTGTAACAGTGATATAATAATACGTTTTTTTAAATCGGATAAAAATTATGACCTCTATAGGGTCCACAAGCTAAAAACACGATTTTTTGTACAATCAGTGGCCATAATTCAGAAAGTTATGGCCGATATGCGCGAATATCGAAAGGAACCGAGATCTTTGGGTTATAAACTTACATTTCAAGTTTCAACAAAATCGGATAAAAATTGTGACCTCTGTAGGGTCCACAACCTTGATATACAATATTTTTACGCTATTTGAGAGCGAATGGCAGCCATTTTGTCTGTCAATTTTGGGCCGATTTTCACAAAATTCGAACTCAGCCATCCTTAGGGTGTAACAGTGATATAATAATACGTTTTTTTAAATCGGATAAAAATTATGACCTCTATAGGGTCCACAAGCTAAAAACGCGATTTTTCGTACAATCAGGGGCCATAATTCAGGAAGTTACGGTCCGATATACGCGAATATCGAAAGGAACCAAGATCTTTGGATTATCAACTTAGATTTCAAGTTTCAACAAAATAGGATAAAAATTGTGACCTCTATAGTGTCCACAAGCTAAAAACGTGATTTTTCGTACAAACGGGCCATAATCCATGAAGTTTCGATCCAATACATGCCAATATCGAAAGGAACCGAGATCTTTTGAAGATAAACCTATATTTCAAGTTTCGTCAAAATCGGATAAGAATTGTGACCTGTAGAGTGTCCACAAACAAATTGTGGACGGACGGATGCCCAGGCGTCCGGACAGACAGGGGCGACGACAATATACGTCCACATGAAAATGTGGGCATATAAAAACTGATTCTTTCAGTTATCACTTAATGCATTAGTTACCAAAATAATTTATCATAAGCTTTCTATTCTGAATAACCGGGTTATAATAAATAATATATCATCATTTTGTTGTTGAGTGAAATTCCAAGACAAATGGTTACAATAAGCATAACCAAACTACAGTACATGTGCATGTAGCTAAGAAAAAGAAACATATTTCAATAAAATAATTCTCACATTAGTTACTTACCAGCTTCAACTAACTGCTCTTGTAGATCTTTAAATGGGATCTCATTGATTAAAACAAATGTTTTGTTTACAGCTGTATATACATAAATCTGAATATTGTTGTTTTTATCAATTCCATGAATTTGATTTGATTTACCATCAAAACTGAAACTTAAATTTAAATATTCATATAAATTGTAGGTTTATGTTCACTTTTAGTAATAATAGCTTGATGGTTCACATAATGTAAAATATCATTGACACTGTTAGAGTGCTTCACACAGCCCAATTTAATCTCTAATTATCAAAAGTTGAAATTACCTCAACAGATGTGTACAGTTTTAAAAATGAAATTCATGTAATCAATTTAGTTATTTGCATTAAACTGTAAACATCTAAACTGATTATAAAAAAGCACTGACACTCAAAGCAGGTGATATCTACATATCTATCAAATAATAAAGAACTATAAAAAATTTAATATTAATAAGTCAGAATTACGGTAATATTTAGATTGTCCGTAGTAGTGTAATTAACAAATTCAGAAAATATGTTTGGTTTATTTCACAATTTGCTATTTTATTAATTGTACAAACAAGAGCAGTATCTGTTCGTTTGGTTGAATTTATATCTCCGAGTAAGACACAATACCCAACAAAGAACATATTACTGGTCATATTTTGCTTTTGCAAGATTATCAAAATATTCAGTGAACTAGATTTCTGTCTCGCTGGCTATATTGTTTTGCATAAAAGTGGTCTTGATAACCCAGGCCTGCCATTCAATCAGAAAACAGTCAGAGGGCTGGTTTAATTTGATTAATTTCCAAACTAGGGCAAGCATGTGAAGAAGATGAGGAAAATTATGGAAAGTATTCAGATCCAGTCCTAAATAGAAATGTAGGAGTCTATCTTCCCCATGCTTACAGTCGAATCATAAACCAGTAGCTCATCACATTATTCAGAATTATTGTAGTTTGGTTGTCACTATATTGCTACTTATCTTAGCATTATGCAAATTGATTAGTATCCTATATTAATTCAATAATTTTAATTATTATAAGTATTCTAGTAACATGTATTGTGACGTAAACTCATCCCATAACTCTTTATTATATATATATATATATATATATATATAGTAGAATAAATGCCTGAAGAGCCGCTATCGCAGTGAAAATGTTAGCATAAAAATGTAGTTTTATTTTGCCATCTTTAATTTCAATTATATATATAAAGCAATATGCCAGTGTTCTAGACAATAGTTACAGTTTGCATTGTTCATCGTTTTTATGGAAAAAATCGCGGTTCACCGGAGAATCTTTACGGCCCTATAATATAATAGTTTATCGTTTATGAAATTATGTACGTACCTGCTCAATAAAGATGGCAAAATTTGTAAACATTGTTTGGTTTTAGAATTTAAGACATTCAAATTGCCATCATGGTCATGTAAGAACATAAACTGGCCCTTGTAATCGTGGTGTAACTTTTGGGTTTCGTTTAGATGAATAATTTGATGTAATCGAGAAATTCTACATTGCAAACTTGAGGATTTTTCATCTAATTTACAAATAACGTCTCTGTGGGTCGCCATCTTGTCTGTCACATGACCTGTAGAATGTAGTCATGTGCTGTCCAGTCCAAAAAAAGCTTTTGTATGCAAAGCAATAAGAAATAAATGACATGATAACTAGACTACAAAACGCGGGAACCTGCCGGAAGTCAACAAAGGCAATTCATTCGACTTTGTCAACAAATGTGTGAAAGCCACTGATCATTTTCTCGAATAGTTGGTGGCTCTATTTTATTAGAACTGCAAAACCAATTAATTCCAGGGTAAGTAATTGAATAAATATGCGAAATTCAAGAGTTTGCCTATTGACCTTAACGAACCTTTTTTTCTATTAGATTGATCAGTTCTTAAAAAAAAATAAAACTGATTTGTTTTTTCCCGCCATCTATTTATTGTTCAATTTATACTCAGAATCAATCATCGTAATACTGATTACTTATTTGGAAGGAATCTACAGAACTAAAGAAGAGGTAGCAGATTTCTGGTTGGATTCGAGTTCGTCCTCCTAATATATATTTTTTTAATATCGAATTTAATGGATTTGCCTACACAACACAGTACTGTGTCAACTTTGTGTTATGTTGTGTATAGTATAGATATCTACTATAATCTAGCCTGTAGTAAAAAACAAAAACTTTGCTACTGCACTTCCATATCAAATGCTCTCTCATTTCTGGTGTTTGATAGATTACATGACATTTCGTTCCTGCGACCTTTTGGACTAAAAAAAAAATATAGCATCGACTGCTCGAGTAGCCTGGCTGGCATTTCAGACTCGGGGAATAAGTTGAAAGGAGCGGTTCAACACAAATGTCAATATTCAGTTTATAATAACTCACTTTTATTTGATAACATAATGTTTTAAAAAAAATAATAGTGTAAGAACAATAACAACGATTTATAAATGAATGACCAATTAAATAATGATTTTTAATAATGAACTTGGGTCGGTCACCAAGTAAGCCCGAAATGTCATTTGTGTTGAGTCTGAAAGGTTGTGAGACTGAAACGTCATGCTGCCGTTGTTATTCGAATGTCCTGTAATAAGTTCATGTGGCTAATATTTTAGTTAGCAACCCAGAAATCTGGCAGCCTGTTATTCCCATCTTCCCCCAGTAAGACAGTTTGTAGGCATTCTAGTGATATTCTGTTTGATAGACAGTTAATGTTGATGTCATTGAATCTGTCAGCTTGATATTCCGATTTCCCATTAGTAGAATGACAGTTTGTTATTAAGGTGTCCTATTAGAATCCATGCTTGAAAATTCTGGTCAAAGGCCCACAAATTTGACAGCCAGTGAGTTCTCCCAATCTTCCCTCATTACACCATTTTATTGTACAGCCTGTAAATCTGTCAGCCTGTTATTCTAATCGTTCCTGATAATCAAACGTCTCCTTATTTCTTGTATTTGTTAGACTTTTAAGTTAACAGCTTATCTGAGAGCCTGTTATTCTAATCGGCCCTCAGAAAAACAGTTGTTAGTTTCAGTAGGTTACCCATAAAATGCATGTCTTTTGGTCTAGCACTGCATAGTCAGAAAATGGTCAAACATTCGGCCAAGTTAATAAGTAACTGCCAACAGACTTCAGTTTGATACGGTTAAACAGAATAATAAGCAATTTGATTGCTTAATGCAAGTACATGTAATTAAGTGTCATTTTTTATAACTTTAATCAGTTGTTTAATTATCTTTGTTATTTTTTCAGTTTAGTCAGCAAGATGTTAGGTGAAGAGATGGTAACAAATGGGGGAGATGGGCTCAAGAAGAAAAAAATACAAGATGAGAATTCTGAGCACATGGAAACCAATGATACTAATGGACATACCAAGGAAGAGAATGGTATTTGTGAAAATGGTAACAAGAGCAAAACAGAGACAGAAGATGTCAATGGAAAGGAGACAAATGAATCTTGTAAAAATGGAAGCAAAATCGCAACAGAGATAGAAGATATGGATGACAGTGGAAAGGAGGCAAATGGCACATGTAAAAATGGCAGCAAGAGTGAAAGTGATGTTGAAGAAGTAATGGAAGTTAATGAAATTGAGACAAATGGACATGCAAAATCCACAAAGAAGAACAGATCAAAAGAAATCAATGGAAAGACGAAAAATGGAAAGGAAACCAATGGTACGGCCAACAATAAGAAAGGGATTCAACCTAGCATCACTTCAATGTTCATGATGGCATCCAAAAAGAGAAAGTCGGATGCTGAAGATACCAAGGTAAAAGAAGTAAAAGATGAAAATAATGATGATGAAGAACAAGAGGAAACCAAAAGAGTGAAAATTGAAGGTGAAGAAAAAGAATCGGTGCCAGTAACATTAAAATCAACAACTAACACACCAACACCTAAGGTGGTCAAATGTTGTCAGTGTCGACAAGACTTAAACTCAAAAGATCTTGCTCTATTTCAAGGAGATGCATCAGAAGCCCTACCTGAAGAAATTGCAATGTGTGATCAGTCATTAATGTATTTTGGAGAAGCACCAGAGGATGATAGCTTTTTTAGACCGATGCATAAACTAACTAATTTTAGTGTCTATGACAAACAGACACATTTATGTGCTTTTGATACTGGGCTTGTGGAAAAGAATGTCCACTTGATGTTCAGTGGTGTCATAAAACCTATCTATGATGAAAATCCTAGTCCTGAAGGGGGTGTAGCAGCTACTCAGATGGGGCCAATAAATGAATGGTGGACAGCCGGTTTTGATGGTGGTGAAAAAGTTCTTGTTGGGATTGGTTCTGCATATGCCGATTATATTTTAATGGAACCTAGTGAAGCATATTCTCATCTGTGGAATGGTTTACAAGAAAAGGTTCACATGACAAAAGTAGTTATTGAGTTCTTATCTTCTAATTTTGATGCTACTTATGAAGATCTCTTAAATAAGATTCATACCACAGTACCTCCTAAAGGAATACCTAGCTTTTCTGAGGACTCCTTATTGAGACACGCTCAGTTTGTTGTGGACCAGGTTCAGAGTTACGATGAAGCTGCAGACTTTGATGAAGAACTAGTTATGACCACACCCTGTATGAGAGCATTGATCAAGTTAGCTGGTGTCACACTTGGTAGAAGAAAGGCGATGGGGAGGCAGCTCAAACCTAAAAAGGACAAAGATAAACCAACCCAAAGTAAAGCTACCACCACTGCTTTGGTTGAAAGTATTTTTGATAGCATGTTCAATGGTCAGATCGATGATAAATCTAGTAATGGTGGTGTCAAGAGAAGGCGTTGTGGAGTCTGTGCGGTATGTCAGCAACCAGATTGTGGTACATGTACTGCATGTAATGACATGATAAAATTTGGAGGATCAGGTCGCTCTAAGCAAGCTTGTAAGCTAAGGAGATGTCCTAATATGGCTCTAAAAGATGCAGAAGATGATGCCGCTCTAGAAGATGAAACTGAATCCCCGGAAGATTTCAAAGAGGAGGTTGTAAAGGAGTCTGTAAAACATGTGCATCATAGGGGTGGAAAAATTGCTGTGAAGAAAATTAATTGGATTGGTGAAGAAATTGCTACTGAAGGAAGGAAAAAATTCTATAAAGCTGTAAACATTGACGGACAAGAAATAACTATTGGTGACAATGTGGGTGTCAAACCTGAAGATCCATCTATTCCATTTTACATAGCACAAGTTACCTCCATGTGGGAGAACAGCGCAAAGGAAAAACTCTTCCATGCTGACTGGTTCTGTAGAGGTACTGATACAGTATTAGGGGAAGCAAGTGATCCATTGGAACTTTTCTTGGTAGATGACTGTGAGGATTCCAATCTTGCTTTTGTAACATCCAAAGTTACTATTATTTACAAAGAGCCTGCCAAAGACTGGAGAATGCAAGGTGGAGCATTAGATCCAGACAGTGATTTAGTAATAACAAATGATGATGGGAAAACATTTTTCTACCAGAAATGGTATAATCCTGATTTCGTAAGATTTGAAGACCCTCCACAGAAACCCATTGTACCAGAAAGTCAGTCACATAAATTTTGTCTAAGCTGTCAGCGTCTTGAAGATCTTAGAAAGAATGAAACCCCAGTTTTAGGCGATACAGTTGAAGTAGAAAATGGGAGCTCCGGAAAGGTTTACTACAAAGATGTTCAAAGAGATGGACTCAAATACTCTGTTGGTGACTGCTGCTATGTTTCTCCAGAAGCTTTTGATTTCAGTGTTAAACCAGCTGTCAAAAAGGCATCAGTTAGCAAGCGCAAGGTAGATGAACTTCTTTATCCAGAAGCATATAGAAAATCCAGCGACTACATCAAAGGTTCCAATACACAATGTCCTGATCCCTTCAGAGTTGTTCAGATCATAGAAATATGCTGTAAAAACTCTTCCGGTAGCAAAGTTGTAAATGTTGCTGAGATACGAATGAAGATACGTAAATTTTATAGACCTGAAAATACCCACAAAGGAGCTGCTTTTGGTTATCATTCGGATTTCAACATGTTGTTCTGGAGTGAAGAGTTTTGTACCATTGATTTCCAGAATGTTCATGGAAAATGTACAGTGGTTTATAGTGAAAACCTTCAGATGGACATTCAAGAATTCTTTCACAGAGTTGAAGATGGTTTTTATTTTACTGAAATGTATGATTCTGAAAAGAGGGAATTTGAAGAACCTCCATCTGCAGCTAGATTGCTTGGCAGTAAAGGTAAAGGCAAAGGAAAGGGCAAAGGCAAGGGCAAATCAAAAGCAAAGGATGAACCAGTAGAAGAGAGTAGTGAAGTTCCATTTAAAAAACTGCAGATGTTGGATATCTTTGCTGGTTGTGGTGGACTGTCTGAAGGTTTCCATCAAGCGGGTGTTGCTGAGTCGAAATGGGCAATCGAAATAGTTGAACCTGCGGCTCAAGCTTTCCGACTCAACAACCCAGGATCAACTGTCTTCAGTCAAGATTGTAATTTCTTGTTAAGGAAAGCCTTGGATGGAGAGAAAACAGATGAATTAGGACAACTCCTACCTCAGAAGGGACAAGTTGATCTACTGTGTGGTGGTCCTCCATGCCAAGGATTCAGTGGAATGAACAGATTCAACTCAAGGGAATATTCCAAATTTAAAAACTCACTGATTGCTTCTTACCTCAGTTTTTGCGACTTTTATAGGCCTAGGTTCTTCCTCTTAGAGAATGTAAGAAATTTTGTTTCTTTCAAACGAAGTATGGTATTAAAACTTGCCCTGAGATGTCTGATTAGAATGGGTTATCAATGCACATTTGGTGTACTTCAGGCAGGATGTTATGGTGTCTCACAAACACGAAGAAGAGCTATCATCTTAGCAGCAGCTCCAGGAGAGAAATTACCATTCTATCCAGAACCTCTATACACATTTGCACCCCGTGCAATGCAACTTTCTGTAACTATTGATGACAAAAGATTTACTTCCAACATTACTCGAACAACTCATGCACCCTATAGAACTGTAACAGTACGTGATTGTATGTCTGATTTACCAGAAATCAGAAACGGTGCAAAATCTGAAGAAATCTCCTATAAAGATGATGCTCAAACTCATTACCAGAAGATCATTCGTGGGAAACAGCACCAGCCTATTCTCAGGGATCACATATGTAAAGATATGAGTGCTCTTGTGCATGCCAGAATGCAGTATATTCCTCTAGCCCCAGGCTCTGATTGGAGAGACCTCCCGAACATTGAAGTGCGCCTTTCAGACGGAACTATGTCCAGTAAGCTGAAATACAGCCATAATGATAAGAAGAATGGCCGTGGTATTGATGGGGAGAAACGTGGTGTTTGCTCTTGTGCTGAAGGTAAAACATGTGATTCTGAACATCGACAGTTTAATACTTTAATTCCTTGGTGTTTACCCCACACTGGTAACAGACATAATCATTGGGCTGGTTTATATGGACGATTAGCATGGGATGGTTTCTTTAGTACAACTGTTACTAACCCTGAGCCAATGGGAAAACAAGGTAGAGTGCTTCATCCAGAACAACACAGGGTTGTCAGTGTTAGGGAGTGTGCAAGATCACAGGGATTCCCAGATACATATAGATTCTTTGGTAATATTCTGGACAAGCACCGACAAGTTGGTAATGCTGTACCACCTCCTATGGCGAAAGAAATTGGTAATGAAATAAAGAAATGTGTGATCTATAAAGCTAAGGAAGAAGGAGCTGAACCGGTTACGGTGACCAAGGCGGAGGTCGAGGATGAAACTCCTCCTGAAATTAAAGAAGAAATTGTCGCTGGATCAAGTCATTAGTCCACTCACAAATCTACAATAAGTTTTATTAAACACCAACTCGAACTACTGTTCTCCTTCCAATTATTTTTTATCGTTAGTGCAAATGTGATCTTTTGTATGATGCGACCTTTAATGTGCTTGATCTTTGAAAGAGTTTACTCACTGTGTAATTTTGATGTTTGAGATCTGACTAGTGCTTAAAAAGGTCTTAAACTTTTAAGATAAAAAGTTAATTTAGCCAAACCCATAAAGACATAACCTTTGATTATATCAAGTGATTATGATTACAGTAATTGTGACAAGTCAAATCATATGAGTTATATTGAAAAAATTAAATTTTTAAATGTCCACAATGGTGCTTGTGGGTGTGATGTTTGATATTTAAATATTTTATGAATCAGATAGCAATAGAATCATACAGCATAAACCATTACATTTTATGACAATGTTATTTTTATATATTTGTATAGTGCTAATAGATTTAATAGACATTATATATGTTGAAAATTGAAATAATATATCTTGAAATGATTTTATCCTACACAAAAAAATACAAAAAGATGCTTTTATTTCTATGATGTTAAGAATGCCATTAGTAACTATAATCATTGATTCAAAGGATTAAATAATTGACACTTCCGGTTAGAATAGACTTTAATGTCTTGAATCTACTAGGTTTCATTCTGATGTTGATAAATGTCAAGTACCAATGGTTGAGATTGGAATGCTGGGCATTTCTTCCAACTAGCTCACAATTTATTACATTGCATGTTGTTGAGTGGAATTACCAAATTGAAAATTGTAAGCTACAGTTGTATATGTGTAAAGAAATTGAAAAGTTATGGATTTCAGATGTTAATTCACATTTGCCAGTACATGTACTCATTTAGTAGAAATTAATAAGCAAATGATATCAAACCTTATTGCAAGAAGAAATTCCTTTGGCATTATCTATGATTGATTTTGATTAAACCAGTTCATTTTAGCTTAAGTTTTGCAACCATTGCATTGTTATTTAATAATAACAAATCAGATAGTTAATCAACACTCAATTGAAGATATAAATGAGGATTGGATTTATATAAAATGGGAATGTTTTCTGAATATTTAAATTAATTTGACGACTGATTTGGGTTATTTTTTAAATCCATGCTTTAATTTAATTGTCATGCATAATTAATTGTTTATATAAAATATCAACTAATCAAATAAAATTGTTAAATCAAATAAAATGTACAGAATATATTTGGAGCAGCAATTTAAAAATTTTTTCAATTTTTTTTCAATTTTTAGCTAAGCTGTCTGATTTGCATAGAAATATATACAGAGTTAGGTCGGCTAAATCTTATTACAATTTGTGCATACGTATTCAAGATAAATGTTAATGATAAATTGATTAAATCTGTTTACCGAGTTGCTCTTTCATACTAAAGTGTTTTATCTTTCATTTTCAAACCTCCATCAATATTTCATTTGATTGTATATATGCCTTATTCATTCATATATTATGTTTATAAAGTCATTGTTTTAAAATTTATTTAATAGTTATTTTTATACGCCCACGTTTTCATGTTGACGTATATTGCCGTCGCCACTGTCCGTCCGTCCACAATTTGTTTATGGACACTCTACAGGTCACAATTCTTACCCGATTTTGCCGAAACTTGAAATATAGGTTTATCTCCAAAAGATCTTGGTTGCTTTCGATATTTGCATGTTTCGGATCGAAACTTCATGGATTATGGCCCCTATTGTACGAAAAGTAACGTTTTTAGCTTTTGAGCCCTATAGAGGTCATAATTTTTATCCGATTTTGTTGAAACTTGAAATGTAAGTTTATAGCCCAAAGATCTTGGTTCCTTTCAATATTTGCACATGTCAGACTGTAACTTCCTGAATTATGGCCCCTGATTGTACGAAAAATCGCATTTTTATACACCCACATTGAAATGTGGTCGTATATTGTCGTCGCACCCGTCCGTCCGGTGTCCACAATTGCTTGAGGACACTCTAGAGGCTAAAGTATATATCCGGTTGAATTTAAATTTATACACAGTGTTTCAGGTCATGAGACGAAGAAGCCTATTGATTTTCAGCGATTTCCGATAATTACTGCCAGAGTTATGGCCCTTTATCACTTCAAAAAGTCTTGTGGACGCTCTTGAGGTCAAAGTTAATATCCGATTGACTTTAAATTTATACACCGTGTTTAAGGTCATTAGACGAAGAAGCCTATTGATTTTCAGTGATTACTGCCAGAGTTATGGCCCTTGGTCACTTGTGGACGCTCTATAGGCTAAAGTTAATACCCGATTGACTTTAAATTTATACACAGTGTTCAAGGTCATGAGACGAAGAAGGCTATTGAATTTCAGCGATTTCCAATATTTACTGCCGGGGTTATGGCCCTTGATCACTTTGAAAAATCTTGTGGACGCTACAGAGGTCAAAGTTAATATCCGATTGACTTTAAATTTATACACAGTGTTCAAGGTCATGAGACGAAGAAGCGTATTGATTTTCCGATAATTACTGCCGGAGTTATAGCCCTTTATCACTTCAAAATAACTTGCGGATGCTCTAGAGGTCAAAGTTATTATCGGATTGAGTTTAAATTTATACACATTGTTTAAGGTCATGAGACGAAGAAGTCTATTGAATTTCAGCGATTTCCTATAATTACTGCCAGAGTTATGGCCCTTGATCACTTTGAAATTGACTTCAGAGTGATACACAGAGTTTAAAGTCTTGAGGCGAACAAGTATAATGATTTTCAATGAATTTTTATGACTTGAACAGCTAAATCTATGATGTTAAAAGTTTTGTATACTAAACGTTAGCATGGCGCAGAACTTTATAAAAACCAAACAAATTGTAATGGTATTCCGATAATTACTTAATGAGTTGTTACTCTTAATCAGATTTTAATGTATTATAAATGTTTCATTACCAAAAAATGTAAAAGTATGTGACAACTCTTGTTGACTGCCCGGACGATTTAGCTGCTGTGGGCGTATGTTTCGTTGCCTGGCAACCTATCTATAGCTTGTGGACCCTATAGAGGTCATAATTTTTATACGATTTAAAAAAACGTTTTAGTATATCACCGTTACAGTTACACCCTAAGGCTGCGATATCATTTCAGGATGGTTGAGTTCAAATTTCGTGAAAATCGACCGAAACTGACAGACAAAATGGCCACCCCTCGTTCTCAAATAGCGTAAAAATATGGCATATCAAGGTTGTGGACCCTATAGAGGTCACAATTTTCTTTTGATTTTGATGAAACTTGAAATGTAAGTTTATAACCCAAAGATCTTGGTTCCTTTCCATATTTGCGCATATCGGATAGTAACTTCCTGAATTATGGCCCCTGATTGTACGAAAAATCGCGTTTTTAGCTTGAGGTCCCTCTAGATGTCACAATTGTTATCCAATTTAAAAAAACGTTTAAATATATCACTGTTACACCGTAATTTTGGTTGAGTTCAAATTTCGTGAAATTCGGACCAATACTGCCGGACAAAATGGACGCCCCTTGTACATATTTAGCATAAAAATATGGTATAACAATGTTGTGGACCCTCTAGAGGTCACAATTTTCTTCTGATTTTGACGAAACCTGAAATGTAAGTTTATAACCCAATGATCTTGGTTCCTTTCGATATCCGCGCATATCGGATCGTAACTTTCTAAATTATGGCCCTTGTTTTCAGAACATAACTTTCTGTATTATTGCCCCTAATTGTACAAAAAATCCTGTTTGTTTTTAGCTTGTTCTCTATCCATCTCTTGTAAAATGTGGGCATATCCTGTCTGGCAGCCACTGGTTATATTTGTTTTTAAAACATCAATATGGGTGGGTTTACTGGGTTACGAACTGGTTCGTTTTAAAGTTGGGAACAGACTCATGAAAGCCGTGCTTAAATTACACCATTACCAACACTAACTTGACTTTTGTAGATGTAGGTATGTTGGATTTCAACAAACGTAGAGTTGGAACTTAAATTGGTTACAGGGAGTCATGAATGATGGCGCAGTGAGAAAGGTGTTGGCTCGCTAACCTGGAGGTCCCATGTTTGATCCCTGCATTGGCCAAAAAAAGTTTATCAGGATTTTCCAGCGTGGTTCCCCCTTATCAGTGGTGCAGTAGCAAGGGACAGCACATAGTCGTCTGGATGGGATGAAAAACCAATGTCCTGTGTTCACATAAAAGATCCCTTGGCAGCTGGAATTCAATAAATTGAATGATGTAGCCTTCATTAACCATTCGGAGCATTAACCATTTCATTAAATTGGTTAGAATCTGTTTGCCTTCTAAAACGAACTTGTTCGACGCTTGTTTGTTGCAAGAGCAATACAAATAAAAAAAATGAAATGGGGTTTAACATCCTACAGTTATGCTCCGACTGGGCTATTGAAGAAGAGCATAAGCCATACAGTGTGCTATGAGGGAAATTTTGCCCAGACAGCATTGCTTCCGCTTACTCTTATATCGAATCCCAAGTGCCAAGGGTTCTTAATGTCAGTAGCTAATAGATTGTGGTATCTGCCTACGACAGCTACAGTATATTACCACCCCTGCTGAGATTCCTGGTACAAAATATTGTCCGCTTGCTGTGACTGTCCCACCATGCCACCGACTAGTAGCTTTTTTTTGAAAAAGGACGAAGACAATGCTGTGTAGGGATCCATATGGCTTGATTGATAATGATATGCTGCTATCTTTTTTTCCACTACATAATCACAAAATGAGGATAAAATGATTTGTGTAGAAGTTTCTTATACCATCAGTTTAAACAAAGCTTCACTTTGAAGATTCTTTCTCGTGAATTCTGTCTGGTCGTTCGGATGGGACGAAAAATCCAGGTCCCATGTCCACATTGGCATGCACGTAATAGATCCCTTATTGGCAGTTGGAATTCTATATAATTGCTGCCTGGGCAAAATTTCCCTCATAGCACACTGTATGGCATATGTCTGTCTTCATTAGCCCAGTTTAGGAGCAGAACAGTAGGACGTTAAACCCCATTTCATCTCCTCATAAATTGTAGACCAAAAAGATCATCAGCTTATTTAGTGGTGCGTCTCCAAATTAAATAACAGGAGTATTCTCCCTTGCACAGTTCGTGATACCGGAAATCATTTTGTGCCATAACAAGCTCAAGTCAAGAATGTGAAGTGAAAACAGAGGCCGAAACAATAACTGAGCAAAAATGTAAGTAGGCCTAAACTGTCAGACTTACATGTACCTGCTTGTTGCTCAATGCAAGGATAATATTAAAAAGTAAATAAGACATAGAACCTAGTCTGTGTACTACTAGTAGGTTCGTTTCCAACTTTTGGATTGGCATTTTTTTACTTCACAACCACAGTGATCCACCAGTGGCAGTAGGCCCAAAACTACAAGAATTAATAGGGTCTCTATTATTAAATTATAAGAAATAGATTAAATAATTTATCATTGTTGCTTCCTGCCTAATACCTCAATACTAAAATCAAAACAGTATTGAATGTAGGCTACCTGTACCGTATGGTTCAAATATGTGTTAAACCCAAGCTCCAGTAAGTAAAGTAATAATAGCCTATGCCATGGTGCTTTGTTCAACTATTTAATTTAACAGCAATGCCAGTAGTGATACCACTTTGCTTTGGAGAAGATTAATTATAATTTGTTCATGTTTTAAATTTGTTTTAATCACAAAAATGTAGTCTGACTTCGATCTGACTGTGATTAAAATTCAGTTTGAACAGACTAAATGCAAATGTCATAAAATGAGCATCAGCTGCGTGCAAACTTCGTTATGTATTTTTCAGTCCCATGAACATCATGTTAAAAAGCAAATTGATTAACTTTCGGTTTACTTTCACACACAGAGTTTAGTACAGGAGTAGGCTACCGTTGTTGTCTTTTATATGATAGTTACTAGAATGATTAATGTAGTCTTATAATAGTTATTAGAGAATGATTTAATTAAGCCTTCAGTAATCTTTAGGGCAGCTAGCGTACATGTCAGAGCCTTTTTTTTTTTTTTTTTTTTTTTTGTTTTCCTCACACACCCTCAAACCTATTTGGGAAATTCATCACAGATGCTATCCCATGCAAGAATTCCTTAGATAGTATCTAACTTGAAAGCTGAATCATTTACCTTTCCAAGGTTAGACATATCTACAACTTATTTATCGAAAGTTGTATTCAAAAATAGAATTGCCTAACCCCATGTAAGAATTCCTTATATAGTATAATAACTTGAGAAAGCTGAGTCTTTTACCTTTCCAAGGATAGACATATGTACAACTTATTTATCCAAAGTTGCATTCAAAAATAGAATTGTAGAAATGCCGTAACGATTATTGATATTTTTTAATTTATTTGCTAACTGTTTCTCACTTTATAAAGTTTTTAGGGGGGTTGGATAGCCGAATGGTTAGCACAAGCGCGCTGTATCATAAGGCCTGTCATTGAGTCAACTGGCGTGGTTTCGAATCCCCGATTGTACATGACAAGGAGTAGGGTCGCCTGTCCAACCTCGTGGGTTTTCTCCGGGTCCTCCGGTTTTTGCTCCCACTGCTAAAGACCCCTACACGCAAGTGAATTATTGAAATAAAATTAAACCATACGTTAGTCCTGAAATGACCTAGTTTGTGTTGAGTGGATGTTTCTCTCTTTCTCTCTCTCTCTCTCTCTCTTTATAAGGTTTTTAATAGAAACAACCCCATCAAATTCTTTTTGCACAGACTTTGTATAAGTCTGGACTGATATTTGGAAATTCCAAGCTGTATGTACACTTTACTTGTCTTTGAATTATGAGCATATCTCATAAATTATTTGTGTGAAATTGTTTTCCTACTTTTTTTTGTTTTCTTGGATTTTGAACTACATCATAGTGTTATAGAAATTTACAGAGTTTTAATAATCACTTGTAGCACTGCAAGAACCCACCAATCATCATTCATCTGCAGGAGTTCAATGATTTCTCTGAAATGAACAGGGACTGCCACCACCAGTACCATGTTTATTGCTAGGTCACATTGCTTAGCTTTGTGGTTACTGGTTGCATTCACTTAGTTTTGATTTTACTGTTCCCTGATCTTAGTTGAGAATTTTACTACTTTTATTCCCTTATGGTTTGGTATATTAAGCAACATGTGTAAGTTCTATTCTACATATCATTATTCAAATGCATACAGGCAAAATACAGAAGTTATGTACCTCAATTTTATTCGTCTTAACTTTTTTATCAAAAAAATGTATCTTTGCTATACATGTATTTTAATTTGCAGTGTATAAATGTATAAATAATAGTTAAGTTCCTCTACCATGAGTAATGTGAATGTAAGACTAGGTTTATCCCACAAATTGGATTACCTATGTCATATATACATTAGTATTCAATGTAAAGAAAATGCAGAGATAGTATTTTATGTGTATAATTATATAAAGGTGTAACAGTGGGATGGATTGTATCTATTGTAATAGAATATTGTTTGATAATAATATGTTTTTTATTGGATCATAGTGTTGTAGGTGTTTATATTCATAGTATATTATTGTCAGTGATCTTTATGCAGCGTAACTGTGTCAGGCAGTAAAGAGAAATTCTTTGCTTAGATATAACTGTGCTGAGATGTTCCTATGTCAAAATACATCCCCTTGCTTAATTGGATTTTACCTTTACCAATATGTATTAAAAAATTTAAAAGTCATTGATGATTAGTATTTCACTGTACTGGGATAATTGGGTTGGGGGAATAATTTAACATTTTCCTAAAGTGCTTGAAAACTAAGTTCATTGTATTTAAAAAATATGATTACTGAATTTTTAATCTCATTAAAAAGGAATTAGATAATCTTTCTTTGCTTTGTGTATTCTATGAAACAGCTATCAGGTGCCCAGGAACATCTTGGGTGTGGTTTAACCAATGTTTACTTCACTGGTTTTAGTGTTCCAAGAATGATGAATCTTTATTGTCACAGGTGCTAGCAAATCTGTTTTGATCGACTGATTGTTCAAAAAAAAAAAAGAAAAAAAAAATATTTACAAACTTTGAAATTCAAAGATTGAAAGTTTGTCATTCTTGTGTCTAATTTTTTTGTCCAGTGCAATTCAAATCTTTCTGAAATAAAATAATATTTTAAAACATAGTTATAAAGGGGAATCAAGGTAGAAAAAAATATTTGTATTAGTATTGGCCTTCATACATTGTAGTCACCAAGCCTGTTTTGTAGGTGAGCGTTTGTATGTCTACATTAAAGAAATCTTGTAGGCTGTTTAGGAGTGTTGCTTACTTACTGTGTTCTACACACATACCTGATGTTCAACAGTTGTATCTAGCCTACTGCTAGTGCTATGTGTTGGGTGGATGCTCTGAATCAGTAGGTCAAAAGTGAAAGGTTAGAGGTCAGTGTGCACCATATTTGGGATTGAAATCCAATCTACACTATGTAAGTATGGTGGCTGTGTTTTAGTGGTGTCTTTATTTCATGATTTAAAGTGGATTTATTTGGATTTTAAGGAATTATTTAGCAAGTAGGTGAAAGAAACGTATTGCTTTGTTTCAAGTGAAATATTTTGTTTAATGTTCTTGGTAAATGGTAGTTTTTCATGTGTACATGTATAGGCCTGTGATTTGAACATTTCTCCCAGCAGAGAGACCTATAAATAGATCAACCTGGTATTTTTGAGGCACAGTGTTTATGAATTTACTTGATTAAGAGTTTATTTAACAACTGTGAAATATTGAAAGATAATCTTGTAATTATGGATAGAATAGATATTTGTATATTTTGAAATGAATGTAATATCTTCTAATACAAATTCAAATAACTACAGGTTTTGGTCACTTCATGTACATGGGTTAACCTTTTAGTCATTTAATATCTTTTCGAATACCATTATATTGGTTTTGTGTTTGCATATTATTACTTATCATCATTTTATAAAATTTAATAAGCATAATCTAAATAAAATATCTATTGATGTTGGGCAGTGTTACCATACATTCTGACATAATTGTGTGAATGGTGAACTTTTTGAAATAGAAAATCCTATTATTGTTCTCTGAAGTTTAAAATTCACACAATGAAGCTTTTGTATCTGCTTATAATTTCCTCCAGATGCGCTCTTTCACTAATATAATACAGTACTCAAAGGCTCCTGTAGCCCTTCTTTAACTAACTAGGTGTAGCATTCATTTTGGATTATCAATATTCTGATCTTATTTATTCTGTGTTTGATTAAAACAAATACACTAAAAATATAAGCTTATTATTACTTTACACAATGTTGTGTTAACGATAGTATAATGTATTTATGGTACGTACATTTTTTGGAATTAAAAGAAGAAATAGGATGCCAAGGGGATGGTTCTACTTTAGTCATGCTTGTGATTAGTAATTTTTGTGTCATACATGAATTACACAGAATCAGTTATTTTTTATTGTACAGTACATACACCATACGTACTGTATATTACAAAACTCATTTTAACTGTAAGATATTTGAGAGTTCATGAAGTGGTTAATAACAGAAGAACTATTATAATTCTCATTGTCGATATCATATACAGAATCATTCTATAGATCCTGTCCTTTATTATTCCTCTGGGAGGCGGGACAGTAATTACACTATTTGCTTTGTAATATAATCTTTACACGGGTTATAAATGTACAGTACTTAGGTGAATCATTTTATTTTTCCTGGTGGTTGGAAGAGTCTTATTTTCAGATAAAGATAAGTTTTGGGATTGAATGATTAACCTACTTAAGCGAAAATATCATCGCTGTGCTTCCAAAATGAAGTACCTTTCAAGAGAGACAAGAAACTACCGGTATATAACAACAAATTCAATGAATGGATCGGTTACTGTATTACATTTGTTACAATCCATATAAGAATTATGTCCATGTATTAACTTAGTTCTTGGAAAACCATTGGATCTCTAAGAAACAGTTACACACTTTAAATCAGCATTTCTAATTGGTGTAGGTTTACAAGTTTTTTGGTGGAATATTTATTAGATTGTCTACAAAAGTCTAAGTTATGGGGTTTGTAAGTGCAGCAAGATACCTTTAAAACTGTACAGTAGCAGTAACTGTTTACAAACTCTGACATTTAAACATGTCAGTTAAAACTTGCCCTTTAAATTGGTCAATTAGTGATAATTTGGCTGTGATGTATATCCTTATTTTCTTTGGGTTAAATCTTTACAGAAGACATGGAGACAAATTGTGTATGGATAAGTCCCCCCTCCCCTCCCCACATAAAAAAAATGCTGTACAAATGCACAATGCATCTTCACGCAATTTGATTTCTTTTAATTCTAGCCCAGTTATGATCAGCATTTATGGTATTTTTAATTTTCAAGTACTCCAAGCAAAAAAGATCAAAGTAGTTAAGATGCAACACAAATAGGTTACAGCATTTAAACATTTTTGAACTAAACAATTTTGATGGTTAATGAGAGAAGATAAAGTTAAACTTCTACTGAAGATTAGTTGTTAAACTGGTTTATCAACATTTCACTATCATAATAAGTATATTTAATGTTTCTTGTTTTACCTGTTGCAAGTGTCCAGGTAATGTACAGGTATAAGCTTATGACATTATATATACCTGGAATAAGCTTACAGACAAAAATAATGTTGAATTCGTAACACCTGAATGAAACATCCAGATTCTAAGAAGTTATTTTTTTTTTCAGTCATTTGACTGTTCCATTTAAACATACATCATGCAAGAGCTAAATCTGCCTATTGTAGGTCTTTCTTTAGGCCTGAAATGTTATATAAACTATTAATTAGACATTGATTAACGTATCCAGACCATAATCAACTCTCGATGTGAACGCTAGCCTGCGATATTTGTTGGATTATGATCCGATTTGCTGCACAACTTTCCTTCTCGATTTAACGATTAAATGAATAATCAAGACTATGATTTTTGTCGTACCGACTTTAGTAATTATGACCGAGGTTATGCGGAACTTTTGACTGAAATTTTCAGCAAATTGCCTTTACATTATCTAGTTTTTAACTATTATAGTGAGAACTGCCAACTCGTTATCTAATCTCCCATAATGTATCTTTAATTAGTAATTAGTAATAAGATAGAAACAAACATCATATTGTTCAAACTGGTTCTATTAATTAATTACGTATCGAAATGGCTACAATCTTAATTTGGATATAGAAGGTTGAAGTGAATTGAATGATGTGTTTTAATTTGCATAAAAGAAGGAATTTTATAGGAAATGCATTGCTATGGTATACTTTAGCTGTGTTTTAGTCATGTTAAAATTAGACACTCCTCTAAACAGCAGGAAATATTTAGGTACATGTACAACAACAAAGATTGTTAGACTTGGGTTATTTTGGCAGTTTGCCTAATTTTGAACATTTATACATTTTATTCATTCTTAAATTGTGAGATTATTATTTGATGTGAATGTTTATTAATGTAATATTAAGTAGAATTCATCTGATCTATTAATTAGATACCAAAAAATCCCTTTTTTAACACAATAACTACTTGTTATTTTTATGGAATCTTCTTAAATGTACGCAAATAATGTTTGCTGATAAAATAAATCTGTGGGGGAGCGGACACGTCAATATAATGTTAATTTTTTGGAGTCTGATAATTGATATTGAATATTGAAATTAAATACCTTTGTCTAACAATGTTACAGAAATTTATTCATTATTAAAATAGTTGATTATGTAGAATTGATTGATATTCGTCATCACAGATATTGATTTAAACATGTTCTGTACTGTATTACTTCATGTAACTGTTGTTTTGTTGAAGTATCTCTGGTTGTGGCCATCTGGTTTTCTAATTAATGAGGAATCTATTCTATACACAGCAGTAGTCTGTCTGCCAGGGAAAACCTTTCAGTCTAAATTCAGATCCCTGTCACTTCTAATTTTGTCTCCAATGCAACTTTATCTTCTGTAAATTTGGAAAATACACCATACTTGCATATCGTGCTTTATTGTAAGAACCTGAATAATAAAAAGTGAACTTTGAGTTAGTAGAATGTCATTGATGCCAGTGAAAAATTAGTCAATCTTGGCTAATTCAAAATTTATCATGACATGATTAAATTTAAGAAGCAATTAGTTCATTTATTTTTTGTTGCTAATTTAAATATCACCATGAAAGAAACTATACACATGAAAGATTTTGAATAGTGTAACTTCATAATAATCAACTTTTATTATTTTTTCAGAAGAAATTGGAGTGACAAGTACAAACAAGTAGAATGTTGCCATCAGCCATTTTGTTGGCTTTGGCCGTTTGTGGACAACTAGTAGTTGGATATAATCCTCGGCTTGCTACAACCCAATGTTGCCGATGTACAGATTTACAGCCAGATAATGCACCTATAACCTCTGAACCCCAACGCCTACCTTCACCTTTTCATATTACAGTCAACAGGCGCCATTATAATCCTGGTGAAGAAGTTCAGTGTAAGAAAATAAAATTGAATACTTTGTGCAATAAAGTAAAGTCAAAATTTATTTTAAATGCATTTTCATGGAAGCCCTTCTACTTGTAATGTTTAGTTTTGATTTTGTCTGTAGTTAAAAATAGTCTACATAAATGTATAAATATGCTGGCAACAAAATTTGATATAAAGACTACAAGAATTGTATCAATATGACAGTTATGTGATCAACACTGTAAGTTACAGTCACCTGTCCCACCTCGTGGGTTTTCTCCGGGTCTTCAGGTTTCCTCCCACTGCTAATGACCCCTACGCGCAAGCGAATTATTGAAATAAAATTGAACATGTGTTAGTTCCGAAATGACCTAGTTTGTGTCGAGTGGACGTTAAACCCCATTTCTTTCTCTCTCTCTGTAAGTTACAGACGGACAAGGGTAGAAATAGTATTCTGAGAATTGTATCAAATAGTATGTGATCGACACTGTAAGTGGTAAAAAGATTATTCTGACTAAGTGAAAATTAATTACTGTGTTTTTCATAGCTTTTGTAATTCTTTAAAATTTAAATTCAAGTAATTCTTAAGGAGCATAAGACCAATAACATTGACCAACTTAAACCATTGTAACTGGTATTTTTACAGTAAATTTAACAGCTGACCCTGGTAATGTTTTCCGTTCATTTGTTGTGGTGGCCTACCGAGCACTTGACGCATCAAATACCAAGGAACCAGTTGCAGTTGGTAGTTTTACCTTATTAGGAAATATTTTGGTGGAAGAAGATTGTCTTAGTCCTAAGGGTGTATGTATATTTTACTTCTTATTAGGTCCTTGAGTTGTTTGGATTCACTGATCATGAGATGCAAGTTTCTGGAGCAACTTTCCAGAAGGATAGACTTACCATCTGTTCACTGCCAGTACATACGAGTGCGACTTGGATCACTTTTTCCACAGGATGTATATGTATGTAGTGAGGTGAAGAGGCCCAATACAAGCTGTGTGTTTGATATCACTATTATACCCAACTAGGAGGTACCCTGCCCAATGCTAAAGTACCGACCATGCATTCAAGTTAAAGATATATACCAAATGAACAAAAGTCCAAAATATAGTATTTAGATTTATTTAAGCCTCTATAGTATTTACTGCATGATTTTAATTTTGTTATTATTTTATGATTACAGAAAGCTCTACGGTCAAATGATGGTTCTGCTAAATCATTAGTAAAACTAGTATGGATTGGTGAGGAATATTATGGTCATATTCAATTCCGTGCTACATTTATTGTTGATGATGAAGTATATTGGGTTAGAGAGAAATCTCTGATCATCAAAGATCCTACAGCTCCACCAATGCCTGTTCAACGATCACCTCCTAGGGTAAGTTTAATCCATAGTATTGGTAAGCTAATACATAACATACCAGTATACATTTCCCAGCTTTCAATATCACTATACTACAAAATCAACTTTTAAAAAGAAAATTAGTTGGACATGTACATGTAGATAAACCTGTAATAAGGATAAGGATATATTAGTTCAGCGTCACAAATTTACAATTATAAATTATACAAATTAAATCTGGTTCAGATAGTAGGAGAGCTCAATCTCTATCTTTATTGTATAGTTGTTGGTTTGACATCTCCCTGTTTGTGATCAATATAAGCTATGGTAGTATTGGTAGGAATGATTAAAAACTTTAGGTCCTGCCTTTAGCGGGGCTGGGGTATTCCACACCGTTTAGGCATTTTGAATTTTAGGGAAGACAAAAAGCATTATGCATAATATATTAAAGAGGTCCAGCAGAGGTCATATTTCAGACTACATATAAGTTCAACAGATTCTTTAAATTTGAATGTCTTTGAAATAGTTACTTCCTCGCTATAATCTACTTGTAAATGTAGTTTCTATTTGGTATCTTTAACTGATGTTAACATGGAATTACAATTACCCCTATATGTACAAACCAAGGAACAGTTTTATTTGTCTCAGATGCATATTAAAGTGTGTTTTATGTGTCTTGGATACTTATTAAAGTATTTATGTGTCTCGGATACTTATTAAAGTGTTTTATTTTAGGTTATTGATCCTATTAACACTGCTGAATGTGGTAATAAGAAAGGGTGTTATCGTGTACCTGAAGGATGTTGGGAACCCTACTGTGAATATATCGCTACATGGAAGGATATGGGACAAATTGTATTATTTGAATGGAGTGCTATAACGGAGGGATTAGAAGATCGTTATGTTGCTATTGGTTTCTCTAATGATACCTACATGGTGAGTTGATGTACATGACCATTTGTACAACCTTATTCAATCCTCCATATTGGTCCAATCTTGTGGGTTACCTCCCATAGCTAAAGACCCCTATGCGCAAGCAAAATGATCTATTTGGTGTCGAGTAGACATTAAACTCCATTTCTCCCTCTCTCCTCCATATTGATAAATATGATGCCATAAATATGGACCTCCGATAATAAATAAGTCAAAATCTCAAGTTGAAATAGATTGTGAATATCTAGATCATTATAATTAGCTAGTAGATTTACCTTAGCTATGACATGCAGGACAGAACCCACTGTTTCTTTTTATGTAGGCATTGCCAATTTAATATTTTGATTATCTGCATTAAATTGATCTTGAAATTTCCATCATTTGCTTGCACTAACTATACAGTAGGACTGTGTCACTACCTATATTGGGAGGAATACTGACCTCTACCTGAAGCAAGCCATAAATCCAATATATATAGCTCAATTCACTACGTTGATGAACCATTGTATTAATAAATAGATACTTTTATATTCCCCCATTTGATAACAAATAATTTATATTTTAAAGGGAGATGATTCTGTTATGGAATGTGTACATAATTCATTCACTGAAAGAACAGAAGTTTTTATGTCTTACAATTATGGTTCACCCAACAAAAATGTTAGATTACCAAATGTAAGTATATTTTGGTATAATAATATACTTGTTCATTTTGTCTGTTTTTAATCTAAACTACATGTCTTTTGTTACGTTTGATTTTGTTGAATTCAATTTAAACTCCATACCAATTATCACAATGATACTATTTTAGGCAAGTGTGACCACGTTATTTCTGGTCTTATAAAATTAAGGCTGAGTCCAAGTAACTTCTATGTGATTTATTAAACATAGATAAATCAACAAATATTTACAAGAAAGAGAGAGATCCGATCCGTTCTAAACTATAGCTCACTCTATGTTTGAAATACAATTCTACAAAATATATAAAAGACAATTATGACACATTGACAATTAACTATAAAATATTGCTTCTAAGTTGAAATCTAAAACAATAGTTCGTTTTATAGTTCGTTTGGTTAATGACCAATACTTAATCCCTCCATTGTTTAGACTCTAATGCTTCGTCTAAATTATATCTGACGTAATAGCCAGTGGCTGGTTTAATAAGGTTCTATAACCCAGGGGCCAGTTTTTAATATATAGAAATCATATGACTTAGTCGGTCATACAAGATTCATCATTGTACCATACATGATACCCAAGAATGTCTAAACTTGATAAATTATTCATTAAAGATATTTAATTTGAACAAATGACATTACTTACTCTTGTGATTTATTTAATTTATTTGTTTTATATTTTGTGTCCTTAGCCAAAAGTTGGTATTGTAAAGGAAGAGGGATCTTTATATAATCAACGTGTAAGATGCCGTGCATGGAGAGAGAAATTCCCTACTGGTGATTCTAGAGTGAATGATTTAACGGGTCAATCATGGCATATGATGATAGCTAGAGGTGCTGCCAGACGAGGTAATTAATGTTGGTATTATATAGAGTTACTCCCTGTTAGCCCCCCTGACTTCATTATTGTCCCCCGCCTTTCGAAGAAAGCAGGGGACTATTAAAATGGGTTCGTCCGTCTGTCTGTCTGTCCGTCTGTCCGTCCGTCTGTCTGTCCGTCACACTTTTTGGGACACAATAACTCTCTTCCTAATTGAGCTAGAATGTTCAAACTTGGTGTATGTGTTTATTAGGTCAATGCCTTGATGGAGTTCGAAGATGAGCATTTTCCGCTTAGGGTAAGCAGAGATAAGCAATTTGATTGGTTGATGCTTTGGGACACGATAACTCTCTTCCTAATTGGGCTAGAATGTTCAAACTTGGTGTATGTGTTGATTAGGTCAATGCCTTGATGGAGTTCGAAGATGAGCATTTTCCGCTTAGGGTAAGCAGAGATTGATGCTTTGGGACACGATAACTTTTAATTGAGCTAGAATGTTCAAACTTGGTGTATGTGTTTATTAGGTCAATGCCTTGTTTATTTTGATTCTATCTGATAGAGAGTGATGAAACTTAATGTATACTTAATAATCAGTTTGATTGCTGGATACTTTTGAAAAAGATAAACATGCAATTAATTAATATATGTCATCTATTTATTTCGGGATTTCAGCGGGGGACATCAGCCTCACTGTTGGCTTGTTAGTTTTATAGTTGACATATTGATTGAATATTTACTGTTGCTGATTTTCATCTACAGCTGTTAGCAGCTTAACCCATTCTAGAATGTACTAAAATTGATTATTTCAAATGAATATTTAATTAAGAAAACAATATTGAAATATCTGCAGTGGATGCTTGAATGTTGTCATATTTTCAATTCATCATATCTTTGTAAATACTGAATAATGACATTGAACCATATTTGAACTGATATTCCATTGATGAATTCAGCTTTCACAATAATGTATTTTGCTGGGGATTCAAAATCCCTCAAATTACGATCCGAGACTATGATAGTGTCTTGTAATCAATGTGTACAGAGTTATTTCCCTTTAGTCTTCAGTTATGAAATTGTTCTTTTTGAAATAACTGCATCATGAAATCAATGCATTAAAGAAAATAAAGCATTAATTTTTTGCATTATGTTTGTATATTTCATGTCATGTAAATTTATTGTATTTATTCCATTTTATAATCTTTAATGAAAACTGATAGACATGTATTTTTTTATTGTGTTCAAGGTGTATTACAGAGACATGGAGCTGGTGCCGGTGCCATCCCAGCTGTTTCACCTGAAAAAATCAGCATGCAGAGAAAATCTAATATTGGTGGTCGTGCTAGTTATCCTTTAGTTAAAGCTCATGGTATGTTTGATTTATTTTCAAGTTTTATCACAACATTGTTTCAAAATCCAGTGTAAGTTTAAAGTGATGAAAATTAAGTGTTATGATTATTAAATATACTGTATATTATGTTTATATTTGAATTTCAGCGTGTTTAATGTTCTTGGCCTGGGTATTTTTTGGATCTATTGCTGTTCTTATGACTAAATACTTTAAAAACATGTGGCCTAATAGACGTTTCTATGAGCAAAGATATTGGTTTGTTGTAAGTTTTTATTTGTACATAATTTTCTTTTAAAAATGTCTTTATGTGGTCAAAATTTGCAAAGACATAGCTTACTTAGATTTAAGGCAGCAATGCATTAAGTAACTTTTCGCTTTAGAATAACATTGATATCTTATTCTGTTAACTTACAAGTATATCAGTAGCATAATGGGCATAAAGCTAATATTAGTAAAAGTAGAATTAAATCAAGTCCTGTAACTTTTGATATGTGATAATATAATAATCTATATTGTTTGATCAAGAATTATCTGTAGTCCATGAAAAGCATAAAAATCAAGCCCAGCTTACATGGTTTCGATGACAGGGATATAGGTCTGTACAGCTCCGAATTTCAGTCAGCTTTCTCCATATAAGTAGCTAATAGATCCTTGCAAAATAAATATCAAGACCTCAGATCTGTATGTCTACAAGGTTTTGGTGACCTGTGCAACTTCTTCAAATGAAAATATTATGCTGCTCCCAATATCAGTTGCCCATACCAATAACAAAGCTTTGGCTATGCTCCTGAGAATCGATGAATGTCCTTCAATTATTAAATTTGATGTTTCTATTTTTCAGGCTCATTTTAATTTTATGGCCATGTGTTTCTTGTTGACTGTTATTGGTTTTATACTTATATTTATTGAAGCTGATGGATATAGTGAGGTATTTATTATACAATGTTTTTATTCAGTCTGTTGATGAAAATATTATTGTCCTATATGGCAATTTAAAAAAACACTTTGTAAACCATATTTTACTTGTTTTTACATAGAAAATCTATAAACTTTATTTGTATTGTTTCAAGGTTAAATTTAGTTTCTAAGCCATACATTTTATACCTTTTACGTATAAACTAAGGTTAGAATAAACAGTTTTCATTGTTGAAAAATTATAATTTGTATGTTATTTTATTTCAGTTCCCTGATTTACCCCAACGAGCTCATCCTATTTTGGGTATAATCATCTTTATCTGTGTTCTGATCAATGTAAGTAATAAAATTACGATAGGACTACAATATATTGTAGTTGTTGGGTTACGCCAACAGTTTGAGTATAAAATTATCCCTGTATTTATTGAAACCTGCCAAATAGTTAAAAACAGAATGGCCGGTGTTTAGCAAAAAGAAAGATTATGTATTTCTCAATTAAGAATTTACTGTTTATATGAAACAGAAAATCATTACTTGTAAGTTTGATATATTTAATTTTACTTGCAGCCTATCTTGGCATTGATCCGACCTGATGAAGAAAATAGATGTCGTCCAGTCTTCAACTGGTTCCACTGGGCTTTTGGAACTATTGCATTTGTTCTGATGAGTAAGTTGACATTTACCAAGAGTATAAATAGATATATGCAGTGTTTGTTGAAAATTTAAACAAAGCAAAAAATCTACTCTCTGAATCTCATGATTATGAAAAACAAACATAAACTTCAATAATATAAAGAAAAAATGAGTTAATTTGCGAAATTAGCAAAATTTGTAGTATCAGTACCCGGTAGGTCAAGCGTCTGAAAGACTAGCCAAATATTACCAAATATCTCCCAATACATTGTACTAGGTGATTAGGGGAGATAATTCGAGTAGCGATACATTGACAATCATATTTGTCATACTTTTTTTTATGTTTTCCATGAATTAACTCAAATTGTTTTATATAATTCAAGTTTATGTTAGTTTTTCACAATAATGAGGTAGTATGTGGTGATATATAATTAGTATTGAGTGGTTTTGGAGTGCAGTAAGTGAGTTGTGTCCGACAAATTATAGCGATAATTATTGTATTAAACATTTTATTTATTGTTTTAGTACCTCAGATATTTATTGGTATGGATTTTGGTAAAGCTATGGTACCATGGTGGGCTACATGGATTGTAATGTTGTGGGCATTATGTCATATTATTATAGAACTAAGTCTCGAGGTACATCAGTGTTGTACACACAAGAAGAATAAAGGTGAGTGATGAACATCTTGATGCAATCTTATTATCTTAATATGATCTTTAAGAAGTTTGTGTTGAATAGACATGTGCTGACTGGTGCTTTAACCCATGAATAAGTGTTTCAGAAATACTTCTAACAGACTAGGTAACATCTATGAAAGTAGTTTTATTTCCATGTACAACTGTATAGTCCAACAGAATTTTAAAATCCGAACCAAATGAAGATTTATTATCTATAATTCTTATGAATAAGTGTTTCAGAAATACTTCTAACAGACTAGGTAACATCTATGAAAGTAGTTTTATTTCCATGTACAACTGTATAGTCCAACAGAATTTTAAAATCCGAACCAAATGAAGATTTATTATCTATAATTCTTATTTACTGTTTTTTGTTTGATGTTTTATAGAGAGAAGAAAGAAGTATGAACACCAGAAAAGAGAAAATCCTAAACTTTACATACCAGAACCAGAACCTGCTGTAAGTACAAATATTCTGTCAATTTTATTTTCATAAGGATATGATGACTACAATACATTAATCACTTACTGGTATATATTGGAAATATATATTTAAATGATATATACTGGTACTAGAAACTTAATTCATAGTAATAAATATACCATTGCAAGGCAACAAAAATGCAATCAAAAGTTGATTTCTTAAAATGCAAAAATTATGACTTGTAGAGTGTTTACAAGAATTGGAGACAGATAAATTGACAGGGATGGCAATAATATATATCCATTTTTATATATTCCAACTGAAAATATGGATGTACAAAAAAAACCCAAAAAACTTAGCAAAGTTGACTAAAGGTCTGATCATCATTTGAATGATTATAAACCATGTAAATACAATTTTGAACCTGTCCTACATAGCATTCTCAGTTAATTATTCTGTATATTATTTTACAGGGTCGAAGATTCAAGAGATTTATGTTATTTCTACATGTAGTTATAACCAGTATTGTTACTTTAATAATGATCATCGTATTCGCTGTAGCATAAACAACAACTAGACCATCTTAACAAAAACAAGCTTCAACAAGGATAACAAATTTGATGCATATATTGAACAAGAAATATGTTTGGTGAAGTATTTCTGAAACTGCATAATGTTAAAATGAAAGACAATTTCAAATGGAAGTAGTTTTGGAATGGTTACATGTAAAAGCGAAACGTTCTTTGAAAGAAATCATGGATGATTGTTGAAGCCTATAAAGCACAACTTTGTTTATAATAATACTAAGATATAATTGACCAGATATATGAATATATTTTGAATATTTATGCTCCATTTAAAAAATAAGGTGTTGCTGACATTTAATTGCTACTTATGTCTATAAATATCCTACAGTTACTCTAAATCATGAAATAATTGCGTCAGTTATTCTATGACCGTCTGGAGTGGACATAAAATTTGTTGCTAAAATCGAAGTACATCAGAAAATTAAAATAACATCACAGTCACTCCAAATTTACACATTAAAGTTTATATGGTAACCTGCTTCTGTGGTATAAATAAATAAGGAGCAAGATCTAAAAAGTCTCATACAAATGCACTCTATAAACTTTACATTTCGAAGGAGCTCTGTGTGGATCAGTACTTTAAATATAGACAAGTATGTTAATATGAGAATTGATAGAGTGCTCTATAGGTAATGCTTTATTTGTATTATATTTTGTATTATATATATTTGCTGAATAATTAGTGTAACTGATTATATGACCTGATTTTTGATACTCAGAATAGAAGTATGTAGATAAACATAGAGAAATAATTAAAACAAGTGATTATGTTTTCTTCTGACTTATCTTAGAAACTAGAGTTCTCTTTCCTTGGTTTGAAGACAATGGGGATACTCGATTGAACATTCCAGAATTGAATTCTCTGAACTTCAGGAATAGTGACAATCAAGTTAAATAGGGGAGTTTTGGATGAACTGAATGCTCAAACAACCATGATAGTTGATGTTATTCTTCGTGTTTAATCACATCACGATTCTGCTGATCTACTGTGACAGGATCAGATTTCATGTCACTTGATTGCAATTCTGTCGAATCGGAATGTTCTGGATTAACAATCAAGCATCCCCTATCAAATAGTGGATCAAACATTATTTACAACTTGTAGAGTGGTAGTTACAACCAATAATGATTCCGCATAAGGACCAACTAAATAATGTGTCTGGATCTCTCATCTATTTAAATAAATCGCTTAAAGATCTGAAGGAATCATGTAAAAGTCGGGGATTTGCGGAGTCATGTAAAAACATTTACTGTATGAATAATGTAAATTATCTTCTAAAAAAGGAAGTGAACTAGTTTCTATGAAAGCCATTTGATTTGGGATTTCCCCAATTTATTCTCTAATAATAGCCTCGGTCTAATGGGATAATGTTGTATTATATTGATTGATATTAATTATATTTTTAATTAAAGCATGTTAAGATTGTACGTTTGTAGTTACACCTGTAGTTAATCCTATCTACCCTTGTTAGTGGAACTAGTGGATTTTTTTTTTATAAATTTTATATCTAGAGTTCTCTCTTTGTATTTATTAATGATTGTATTATATTGTTTTTTTTTTTTAACCTTAGCCTAGGATAGAAAACAAATGTCTTGTCAGCTGTCAGAAATCAGTAGACATTTGTATGCTCTCAACTGTAAAAATAATAATAATGTGCTTAGTTAAATTAAGATATTTTTACATTTACCTATTCAATGCATTTATACATCCATGTTGCTGTAGTTTGCTTTTAGTGGTTAAAATATGTGTTATTATGCGCTGTTATATTGTCATATTTAAAAGCATAATATATTCCTAGCTGATTCAAACTTGATACATGTCTCTAGAAAGAATTTTTTTTTAAAATACTAATAAAAGAATTGTGAAATATGATGTGGCTAACTATATAAGTCGACAGTACAATGATGTTGTTTAGATGTAGAAAATTATCAATTCTACTAATCCTATTTTAAATGCTGTTTTATTATTGACAACTATACATAATGAATATAAGCAATTTATTATATCTTAGAATCTCAAATATTTTAATGTGATGTACATTCTTTAAAAATATTATTTATGTTATTTTTCTGTGTGCTTTTTAAAATAATATATTATTTAATTATCATTAAATATACATTGTACAATTTGTTTTTCCCTCCAATTCAAAAACTTACTGAAACTTGTGTTCCAAAATTTATTGTCTCAGATTTTTCTTTTCACATTTGGATGTTTTCTGTAGTGTTTGTTTCTCTTAAAAAAAAGAATTATTTATATTAGAGATACTATAGATTTCCACATTGATATCTTTATTCATATTTATATTGGTGCTATGATCTAGAAGACCAGATTTGAAATATACAGTAAATTTCATTTTATGAATTGTTAATAAATAAACAGCTATTAAAGGCATAAGTTCTTTATTTATCAGCTAACGTCCAATGTACCCACACTTGCCTTAATGTAGAACACTGTCTTTATATTTATCATTTCATTTATGCTTTTTACAATAAATACTTAAAAGAATACTTTTGAAAAAAGATAAATCTACTCTTTGAAATGGGAAATTTCCAGTCCTCATTTTGGAATGCAAAATGATTATCAAGATTATAATTGAAATATATTACCCAGTTGCCTCTGTAGACAAAATATTTTCTATTAATACACTGATAATTAAAATATATCTCGTTGATTTGAAATTATCCAGAGATGTTAATTTACTGATATTTGATCAATTCAGTGGAAGAGGTTATAAAAAAGATTTACCGGTTAGCATCAGTCTAGGAAGGCATGGGATGGAATTTTCTTACAATTGCACTGCCATACTCACTTTTTATCTTTTTGGGAAAAACAGTTGTAACATAAGTTACATGTTAACAATTTTTTACAATTGTAATTTAAAAATATGAATTTCAAACAAATTTTTTTTTTTGTACATTTTAATAATATTAATTAGCAAGTCTTTCTGAATCTTTTAAATAAACACATTTTTAACTTTTAACATAAATATCTGTTGTTGTTTTTTTATTCAACTGTAAATAAATAGCAGTATTGACTGAAAGTGTATGGACCTGTGATAATCGACCTGAATCAGATTCAGAGATTTTTTTACAAATTTCCAGGAAGGAGTTGGGCAGTGCTCATATCAATATTTGATATTGATAACATTTTTTGTTATAAACAATTTTGAATTCTGATTGAAAAATATATTACAAAATGTACTGATTTTCTCTTACATATATTACTTCTTCATACTATTTACTGGGCTAATTCAGATAAATGCATGGAAAAGCTACATGTATCATTGAAATATAACCATAACTTCTATGTCTCCGAATTTATTTCGGTTTATTATATAAAAGCAATTCCCTATTTTGTGTAGATCAAAAGCAGATGTTCTCCCATTGTTCGTTCATCCCATTCCCAGATTTGTTGATTTATTATCACCTTGGCAAGTAGTTAGCACCAGCGACAAAACTTCAAAGACATCTCTGGTAACAGGTAAATATTATCTAGATTATCTCCCTTGAAATTTCCATTGTAATAAAAGGTGTTTTACCTTCCAGTCATTGTCAATAATATTTTCTATTTTGTATATAGAATTATATTTGAACCTGCCATGACATATTCTAAGCACATGTATCTACTAGTTAATACCGAAGCATAATTTAAACCTTGTTTATTATTCTAAACCGTAGTCGAGACACACTGATATCCCTTCAAATATAATGGAACGTTCCAACATAGAGGGATTGCCCCGTTTCTGCTACGAGTGACGAAAAACGTCTTCTTGGCTCGAGCGCTTTGTCAGAACAGTGAATGACTTGAGTTCGTGGAAGCACGAGAATTTTGTCATTTACCATGTCGAATTAACTACCTGTTGATGTTGTTTAACAGTAAAATATAAAAAACACAAATAGTGTGTGAATGCTGCATAAATATAACAGTTAAATTGCATAGTATCGGTAAAAATGGCGACTAAAGGTAGAGAAATTCAACATGTATTTCTAGTACTATGGAGTATCCTCACATTTTTGACAGTATCGGTGTCATCTTCACAGCACCCGGAAAGAATTGTTGCTTTCTTTAACGGTAAGTCTTATATTTGTTTTAATGTTATCTATATAACACACGTTATAATCTTAGAAACAGTGTAATATTATGTCTGAAGTCAGGATTTTTATCTTCAAAGATAACGTTAATACTGTTGACATGTCGTTCATTTATAGTGATACATGTAGATAGGCCTATATGTCCCGTGTAGGACACCCAACTTAGTTTTAATATTAGCAAATACAAGAATAATACTAATAAAAAAGAATATCCAAAGAAGACTTTAATGCTTGGACATTTGCAACAACTTCCCATTATTCCTGACACCGAGTTAATTGAATGGAAGCGCACGTGAATTGCGTGACATAGTTGCTACGCTCAATTGGTATTGATGTGTTGTAATGTTCAGAAAGAATCGATTATTTTAAGGCACGTGCTTTGCAGGTCATGTGAGTGCTGCAACAGTTTTCTGTGTGAAATAACTATATTTTAACTCCCACAGACACTGTTTCAGTGGCATGCCTGTACAGCTTCCTGAATTTAGAAATATTTAATATTGACAAATATAACTATAAAATTGTTTCAAACTACTTGTAAATGATCGAGTTTCTTTTTTTGTTGTTTTTTTCTTTTTTTTTTCTTTTTTTTTTTTTTTTAACTTGAATGAATTATTTGTAGGCCCTCTAGATAATGAAATTCTTAAGGATTAATGCCATAATGCCAGGTTAATTTTATATTCTAAATTTAATTATGTTAATTTAATTATTCAATTATTGTTGTTATTACCTAATTATTAGGGCACATAATGCAGACCAATTATAGATTTATGTTTAAACCTGTAGACCTCTCCCCTCATTCATAGTCAATAGGATTGCTGTCATACATTCATATGAATTACATTTACATGTATATTATACAATAACAATTAATGTAAACTCAACCCACATTATTTTATAATATCCAGAAGATATTTTGAATATAAAACAATCCACAACGGAATATCCAGTAGATTAAATGTCTATCTCCCTGGGTCTTGTATAATATTCCAGCATATGCTGATATGAAGGTGAATTATGTCACTCTGCACTGTTTGTATGGGGATATTGAATGGTACAATAAACAATATGTCAAAGATAAAGTGTGGTTTATTGTATAATTGATGTATATGTGGAGGAGTATTCCCTGATGCGTATTGAGTATTATGCTTATCACAAGTTATATGAAATAGAATAAATACAAAAAAAACATATATTAATAGAATTAATTGTTTTATGTTTGTCAAGAGTTTAGCATGCATTATTGTTGATTAAGACTTTCTAGAAAAATCAAGCATACTCCACTTCATGCAAAACAATTGTCATAACCTACATGTACATGTAAAAGCAAGAGGCCCATGTATTGTTTCAAGCTTTCATAGGCTTATTACTTTTTTTTCTAAAGTTGGACAATTATGATTTAAAAGTGTTTGTTTCTTGTAAATCAGGTTGATATCTATCAAGTTTGATGTAAAGGCACATACAGTAGTAATATACATTTACATTATTATTGAAGATATACTCTACATTTCCACAAAAGTATTTATCGGGTGGTCATTTCCAATAAAAGTATGGCAATTTTGGTATATAGAAAGTAGAGAGGTCCAATTTAACTAGAAAAATACTGGATTCTCTGAAAAACACCCATGAAGCCTGCACAAGACAAAAATGAGACAGTGTCACTAATTGGCAGTCTGACAATTTAAGGCTGCCTGTTCGAGTGATGTCAAAGGTAGCACACATAGATTGTCTGACCTCTTTTCATTATATTAGGGAGCCCGTAAAGTATATGTTGGTAAACTTGATAGTGAGTGGACGTGGAAAAAGTGAGAAACTTAAACGTACAACAGATTCTGAGACTAAACTGCAGAAAAAGAAGTGAGCAAGGGATAATCCCAGAATTTACATAGACTTTATGGTAAATGGACAGCGATTAAAAACAATATCGTCTTATATATATGCAATGATTTCTGCTTCCTCCGCCACCGTCAGGTCACATGACACAAACATGTCTTCTTTAATTAGATTTTTATAGCTTGGGATATTTTCTTGCAAATACCATGTTTTGAGAGGCATTTGAAGCAAATGATTAATATAATAAAGATACGTTATGTAAGATTTAGAAAAAGAGCTAGCCATTCTTGCTATAATAGTTCAAAAATAGATCAAGTAAAATGAATAATTTGAAAATTTCGTTCAAAATTCTCTATTGCGAGTGAAGATATTAGCCTTTGAAGGTTTGACAAGACATGTGCAATAATTTCAACCACCGTATTGGTTGTTCAAAGCTAAGTCTCGCTCCTCCATTTCAAATTAGATCAAAATATGGCTGAACCGTTCTAATCTATTTAATATCGGAGAAATCCTTTGCCATCGCGAGTTGATTATGGCCTGGATCAGTTAATTAATATCTAATTAATAATTTAGATAACATTTCAGGTCTAAAGAAAGATCTGCAATAGGCAGATTTAGCTCTTGCATAATGTATGTTTAATTAGTTTGAATATGTTTCTAGTTCAAATATATCACCAAATCACCCTATTTATACATGGGAAGGCATGTTATTAGTCTGAGTTCATATTTAGCGTGTATTAAGCCTTGAGAAATTTGATATTTTAGCGAAAATGCAAATGACGCATCAAAGCCTTTTATTTTCAAAAAGTACAAAACTGTCAATGTTCATAAAGTAGATACAACGCATGTCTTTCGGCATCGAATGTAAACTGGCAAGAACCTAGGACACACTGCTGGAGCAGATACCTGGCACCACTCGTCACACAGGTATTAAATACACATTTGTAACAGTTACAGGACGATTGCAGAACAAAATCAATCATTTCTAATTGGGTTCATTAAGCATATTTTTATTTGAAAACAAATTAACAAAATTCACTAAATACAAGACAATGAAATCGCTAAAAATAATCAGTAGGCTTACTGCTTACATTATTATATTATATCACAAGGATGCAATGTGCCATTCTAATCATCCAGGTTTGGCCATCACTGATTTAGATAATTCTCTGAAATGTTGTAAGTAATTCTAAGAGGCCAACAAAAGACTTCTTTGTTTGATTGTCAAAGATAACTAGTGAGACCGTTAATTGACTGTCTGGTCAGGTTGAAAGCCGCTATTAGACTGATTTCACTGGTCAAGAATACATGTAAGTCTTAAAATTTCTCTAGATTTTCATGGAGTGACCACTGAAAATGAAAATAACAGGTACTTTAGTATTAATTAGCTTGAAACCAGGTACAGTAGTCATGTTCTCTTTAATGAGATTTTAATGATCAACAGAACATCATATATTTTGTATTTGCCATGGTAAAATGGTTTGTCTAAATGAAAATGGTACTGGTAGCATGATAATGTATTAAAAATCACCAGATGAAATCATCAAATACTATAAGGTTAATATAGAATCATCAAATATTAAGGTTTATAAAATTAGCTGAATATAACACATGTAACCAGTATGATGTCTGTAGTGTAAATATAGTGATTGTATTGTGTATATTGATGAGTGTCTAGCTGCTTCAGTAATTATGAGATGAGTTATGATTATAATATGTCTGACCACTCGAAATGACCCCTTCTGTGTCCATCTGTCATAATTGTCTGCTTTCTATAAATCAATTTATTGGAAAACATCTAAAAGTTGATAAAGAGATGAAACTGTGTCAATGTACCGGTACATGGATGTTGATTTACAATTTTTTCCTGAGTCATATTGTTACTACATGTACACTAGTCCATCCTTCACCTTTTGAAACTGAAAATATTTTTTTGTAATGACAATTATGGCCAACATTATCATAGCATTCCTCCATTATATTCATGTATTTATCATTATTTTAATAATGATAATGACTTTATAATGTGATTACCTACATGATTATAGTAATAATTACTAGTGCCGAAGGAATATGTAATTTTAGTATGTGCGCTGACCCAACATGTACCTATTCATATAGGAAGTACATGTACTTGTGACTTCTCCATTTAAAACTTGATATGTTTTCTTCTCTCAATAAAGGTTCATTATTGTTTGAGACAGTCTCCTGGGTTTTCTCTGAGTTCAGCCGCTTAAGATTTATAGACAAGTTAATTGCATAAAATACCAAGGGAATAGATTTCTTCAATTGGACTCCCTTCTGTAAGAACAACAAAAAAATGAATGAGAGTTTTATAGCACAACACCTATTACAATATGTCAATAGTCTGCACATGTACCTACATACTTGTATGTATCAATTTAAAATGGGATTTTAATTGGCTTTTCTAAAGTTGGTACTCAATAAATTATGTTCATTCTTTCTTATTGCTTATTTTATTATTTACAGTATTGTAAGCTGTCTGGTCTGTATCCTAATCCTATTAAAAATACTATTATATAAAGATGTCAGTAGTAAAACCAGAGGTGACAATATAGATGCACAGTGAGCATCATTATTGTTTCTCATTATTATAACATTGCTTTACAAAATAAATTTTGTGGTTTTTGTTTGACCTGATCTTGTTCTTACATGTATAGACAAGTAGGATTTAACCATTGTCATTACTTTTTTTAAAGGAGAAGTTGCTGATCCTTTATATTTTAAATGTTAAAGTACATGTAGTAGATTCCACAACAGGGTAACTGTTACCTACAAATTTAAGTCTTGCTATTGCTAAAAATGTTAGTCTACATGTCTGGGATATGTTTGTTTTAGCTATGATTGGAGACCTTTCATTTACTCCCGTCTTCAGTAGCCCAGTTGGAGCAGAACAGAAGGACGTTAAACCCCATTTCATTTCAGTTACTTTCTTATTCAAGCATGTGTCTTTTTTGAAAGGAAATTTACTATTCCACTGAATTAAACTGAACCTGCTCAAAAAAGCTATAAAACTTCAGTGCTGTTTTAAATAATTTTCATTAACAAAGGCAAAAAGTAATTCTTTGGATCACAAACCGCCAGGAGACTTTGACATTTTTTAAAGTATTCATCAGCACCATTTGGCAA